TAAAAAACACAAAACAAATTAAACAAAAAAATGTATAAGGACAAATAAATCACAAAATAAATTAATAAAAAACAAACAAACAAATTAAAAGCTGTTTAAATCACGCTTTTTGGCTCCTTTTAATACTTCTTATTTGCTTTTAGTTCTTGCGAGAGTCTTCTTCGCCTCCTCAAGGGCCGTCCTGAAGACTCCGCATCCTCCGCTGCCTGCAATATGGGTGGTTGACACCTTATTGCCAATCTTTTCCTTGCACAAAAAGCAACTTGAGTTGTTTTTACAGTTGGAGAACCTGTGACCGGCCTTACCGCACTTAAAGCACGCAGCCGATCAGTCCACCTTCTGGCATTTGGCTGCAATATGGCCGTATCCCAGGCATCGATGACACCGGACGACCATTACTCTTCTTTTGATTGGGCAACACATAAAACCAATTTTTACGTGTCCCAATTTCTCCAGCCTGTTCGCCTCTTCCAGGTTGGTGACTACAACCGCGAGCTTCATCCCTCGGCGGTTGGGTCCTAAGACCGTCACTCTCCTGTTTACTGGCTTACCCATTGCTTCAGACAACACTTGTTGCACCTCAGCTTCTTGGGTAAGGCAATCCAAATCACGGATCTCGAGTGTAACTCTTCGATCCAATGACTGCACCTTACCCATGCTTCCAACCGCCTTGGTGACCTCAGCGGTGAAAGCGTCCTTATCGGAGTCTCCTCTGAACTTAATCAGAAGGTCCCCCTTGTTTGTAGCTTTTGCTGCTACTATTCTCGTATGGCTGTCCTCTGGGTTGACCTCTTTGCGAAGCTTACCCAGAACGTCAGCATACGTCAATCCTTCACCGACTCGGATTAGAACTGTGGATCTTTTTGACCCAATTCTTTCCAATTAAGGAATCTTTGGATCTGGTACTTCCGTTTCCATTGGAGGAGCTTCCTCCTTCTTCCTCTTATCGGTTTTGGTTCAAGTCTCTTCTGGACTGTCACCCTCTCTCTTCCGTTTTTGAGCATCTCTTAAGACGCTTTTGAGATTACGCCTATAGAAACGCTCTCTCTCTTTCTTACGGTCCTTGCGGTTGCATTCCGCACCGCTCAGAACGCATGCCAAATCGAAGTCCGACTCATCGGCCGCGGCATGCTTTGCCCTTGCCTCCTTTAGCAGGACGTCGATGACCTTGAGTCCATCCTTTACCGTCCTATTGACGGTCTTCTGAATGTCGCAAGATTTTATCATCTTTGCGACCTCCAACTCCATTTTTTCGAGACAAGTCGCCTCCTCCTTTCTGAGCCGCAAGCATATCTCGTGAGTCTCTTCTATCGCCTCGTCGTCTACTTCTGAGTGGATAGCGCTATGAACGGTTTTTCCGCTACTGCAGCTTGACACACTCAGAAGGCTCGACGTGCTTCCTTTTCTCGTTTTTTTATTTTCCACGATGTTCTGTGGATCTACCCTTTCCACGATCACTCGTGGCACTGCAAGAAATTGTGCGCCCCCACAATCCGCGCGCACTTGAGCATCGGTCCTGGGACCGATGGTGAAATTTCCCGTTTCCGGCCTGCTCACCTGGGGTACCTTCTCAGAATTTTTTGAATTCATTTTTTCTTGCTGTTTGGTTGTCCTTTAGTTGAAAGCCCCGCCACCACGACAAGGTCTACCGAACATATCCATGATGTCAATCATGTCTGGCAGTGGATATGCATCCACTTCTCCCAGCACATCGAAGACATCGATGATGTTCGGCAGTGGACAACCAGCGGCGGAGATTATTATTATTATTATTATTATTATTATTATTATTATTATTATTATTATTATTATTATTATTATTATTATTATTATTATTATTATTATTATTATTATTATTATTATTATTATTATTATTATTATTATTATTATTATTATTATTATTATTATTATTATTATTATTATTATTATTTTCATCAATATAGTATGAATTATTTTTGTAATTTCGAAAAATATTATTTTAAAGTTGCAAAATTTAATTATACAACTTAAGTTGTTTAATTTTGCAAGCAAGAACGTCATATCGCTCGAATATATATCATATTTGAAGTCGACATTGATTATTCTACATCATTAAATCATGAAAATTTAATGATGAATATAAATTTCAGAAATAATATATCATTTTAATTCTGGGGGTATTTTCATCATTGTGATTATAATTATGATAAGTTTCAATAAATATGATAATTTTAGCAATTATTCACACGCTTCCAAACCCATTTACTCTTTACAAGGGTCATTGAGCACTAATACTTTTACATTCCTACAAAAAGTAATATAATACAATATAATATTATATAACTAGCTGTCGAATATTTACCCCAAGTTTTCAAATTCTTGGGGTAGGGCATCACTATTTAATGCAAATTTACTTGATCACCTGAGAATAGTTTTTGAGATGTACTTAGTGTGCAAAAAAATTGCTAAAACTAAGTTTTCGGACAAATTTTGATACTTTATTATTCGACACATATTATATTTTTGTTATTCTAATATTTACCTTAATAACTTTTGGATATCCTAGTTTCATGAAATGTTTTTGTTTTTTTGTGCCAGTCTCGAAATTTAAGATAAAAAATAATTATTCGAACCGATGCACAGTTTTTCGCACCTAGGCGAGTTGTAACAGGCTGTTTCAACTCACCTAGGTTTACTCAAATTTGTGCTTGATCGAAAAGAGACTGTTTGGATTTTTGCTAAAGTATATTGTTTTATATGATCGCTTTAAAAGTATTTAGAATTTTACAAATTTTTGTGTAAATCACTTTCATATTTTCGAAAGTAAAAAAATATTAATAAAAACATTTTTCGAGTTGCTCTTTCATATACAAAATTCAGGACTTGTTTTAGGATCAAATTCAGGACTTGTTTGAGGAAAAGTTTTAGGATCAGATTTAGAACTTGTTTAAGAATTAGTTTTTGGATCAGAGTGACGATTTGTTTAAGGACTAGTTTTAGGATCAGATTAAGAACTTGTTGTAGATCTAGTTTTATGTTTAGATTGAGGACTCTTTTGAGGACTTGCGTTTTAGACTTGTTAAGGTCTTGTTTGAAGACTAGTTTTTGGATTAGATTGAGGACTTATTTGAACCTAGTTTTAGGATCAGATTAAGAACTAGTTTTAGGATTAAATTCAGGACTAATTTTTAATATCGGTTGAGGTCTTTTTAAGGACTAGTTTTAGAATCATAATCTGGACCTGTGTGAGATATACCTAAGCACATAAAATTGACTTATTCTGAATATAGCCTGGGAATGTTTCCATAGATAGATTGAGTACCATGACGAAACTGTTAGTATGCATCTTTTAGTTTTTAAGAGTACATTTTGTAGGAAAGGGTAAGTCTTGTTTGCTTTTAAAATAATCATTTTTATAGTTTGTACACTTTGATAATAATTTGATATGTTTGCAATTCAAAGGGCTATCTAAATAAAATTAATGGATAATTTATAAAGGCAAAAAGATATGAGTTGTTATTAATTACATCCTATTATTTACATCCTGGCCCATAAAGTAGTCCTTCCTCTTCCTCGAAGAACTTTTTGCATTGCTGCTCGATAACAATATCGAGCAGCTACATAGTGGTCAGTACAGATGCATAGGCCTCGTTATAAATGCCTGCAGCCAAATTTGACGCTATTTCGACGATTTTAGAGCCGGAATTGACGTATTTTGGGTTTAAGCGCCACACAAGCGAATTGAACGCTTCGTTCGAATTTTGAGTGTGTATATACACCTTTTCAGGTGTATACAAGGTGATACAAGGTTAGGTATACAATAGAACGCATGAAGGGGTGGAGCGCGCGCGTTGGGGTCTGCCCGAGCATTCACACGTGCTCGACGATCGGTCACAAAATCTGTTCTACCTTCGAAAATATGTCAAATTGGCCTCTAAAATTTTAAAGACATATTCTTGGATAGTTTTGGAATAGATTTAAGACAAAATAAAAAAGTCGATTTTTTAAGCCTATAAAGGAGACTACTGCCTTAAGATTCAAATTTGGTATCATATTCGTAATCAGCGACCTCAAAAAACTTATTACTGTCTTTTTTATAAAAAACGATCACTGTTTAGAGAAGTTGACAGCTGTCAACTGTCAAATTGTCAATTTAACATCATATTCGTAATCAGCGGCCTCGATAACCCTTACAAACATGTGTCACTTATTTATAATTATTGTTGCTATTTAGAAAACTTAGATTATTTTTTGTGTGTTTGGGGAGTTTGTTATTAATTTATATAAACAATTATTAACAAATTTTTTTTATTACTTGTATGTTTTTTATTTTGATACTGTGATCCACGGTGAAGAAAATAAGCCTAACTTGATTAAAAAATATTAATATTTAAAAAAGTCGATAAAGTAGGTTTCAACTTCACATTTAGTGAAGGGACTTAAGGCGCTCGCACAGCTCTACTGCCTGTCTGCAGGTCGTCATGGTAACACATGAGAGTAAGGGAGAATAAACATTTAATTTGAATTTTCTGACTCTCTTACTCTTATGTGTTACCATGACGACCTGCAGGCAGGCAGCAGAGCTGTTCGAGCGCCTTTACTAATGAATTGACAATTGTTTCGTGAAAAATTCTGGGAAAATTCAAATAAAAGTTTTGATTTTTCGAATTTTTGAAGAAGCGCCATAACTTATTAATTTTTTTATTTCATATTAATATTTTTTATTTTAATATGGCTAGGATAATTACTTTTATATTATAATAGTTCACTATTAAGGATTTTGGGAAAACTTTTTAGAAATTTCTTCTTACATTCTTTTTGTCTATTATTTATTAAAAGATTTGACTATAAAATAGTTACAAAAACGATATACATAGGTATAAATATCTTATTCACAAATTCGATGCAATTTCTGGCAGAGGTTTTTCTTGAATTATACTGTCGAACATCAGTATATATATAACTTATTAAAAAAATGAAAATATTTTTATTATTTACATATTCGAAATTATTATTGGTAAATACGTTCTTAAATGTTCTTAAATGAACATTTCACAAAATTATTTTAAAATATCAGTTGATAATTGTCGTAAATCGTAAAAATTATAAAATTTTTAATAAAATATAATTTTGTAATTATTAATTTATCATTTATTTTCAATTTTGTAATTATCTGAATAATTTGTTTAGAAACATGTTTTTTAATTACAATAACAGATTCCTTAATTTTATAAATCTGTGTTTGATATTAGTTAGGAAAAGTTAATTGAATTAATGTTTAAAATATGTCAATTATAAAAATTTAATTACATAATGATATTTACAAATGAGTTTCCTTTATAATAAATGGCTTAAAGTTCTGTAGTCTCAATTTTTTTGCCTAAGGGATTATTCGTCACCTGTTGACTTCTTGAAATTGGCGATTCATTTCCTTCGTCCGTGCTAGTTTCCATACTACTAAAAAGTTAATTAACATTATTAATTATAATTTGCAAATTAATATTTATTATTAAATATATTAATTAACATTATTGATTTTTAATTACAATTTTCAAATTAATAATTAAAAAAACCATTTTCAGGAAAAACTGGATAATCATATTTATTTAAAAATAATATACCGTCACTCACGACGTTTCGATATCAACGTTGATATCCTCTTCAGGTGAAAATTAGAATTTTATAACACAAAAAACATAACTATTATAAAGAACAAGCATCTTGGAAAAGATGCTTGGTCTTATTTATTTAAACTAACATAATATTTTAATTTTTGTCAATTCCCACGTTCTCGCCGTGAAAGACACAACATGTTAGTTTAAATAAATAAGAACAAGCATCCTTTCCAAGATGCTTGTTCTTTATAATAGTTATGTTTTTTGTGTTATAAAATTCTAATTTTCACCTGAAGAGGATATCAACGTTGATATCGAAACGTCGTGAGTGACGGTATATTATTTTTAAATAAATATGATTATCCAGTATTTCCTGAAAATGGTTTTTTTAATATATACATATCACTGGATGTACGAAAATTTGAATTTTAAATTAATAATTATAATTTAACATATTAATAAAACTTATTAATTACTATTCTACATGTTAATTATAATTATCAATTAATTATTACTAAATTTTTGATTATATATTATTATTTTATTTAATTATTATTATTTGTTAATATTTATTTATCGAAGTAATTCATTATTTAATAAGTTAATTAAAAATTTTAATTTTTAATTACTATTTAACTCGGAAAAATAAGATTTGAAAAAATTGAATGTAGGTAAAAGGAAAAAAATTAACAACCGATGTAAAAAAGTTTCCGGGAATGAGACCGAGAAATTCCCAAGAGTGAAATAAAAATGAAAACAAAAATATTCTTGGATCTTTGTTACTTGGGCAAATAAACAAAATCTATGCTGAGCAAAAGAAAATTACAAAAATTATTTAATGAAATGAAAATTCGAAACAAACCTTGAAATAGAAGCGACTCTTGGTTGAATGTAATAGGGTTTGTCTTCAGTTGGTCTGTCGTTGGTATTACTTTCGTTTATAATTTCTTCATTGTTTAAGGCATTTTCGTCTAAAGAATCTCTTTCAGATCCGTGGCTATAAAAAATTACATTTATATTAGAAAATAATGTTATTAGTTACAAAATAATTTTTTCAAATACAAATTATTTTGTAACTCAAGAAATTATTATAAGTTATAAAATAATATTTATGAGTTATAAAAGAAGTAGTTTTATAATTTGAAAAATATGTTTATAAGTATAAATTACTTTCAAAATGTATTAATAAAATTATTTAAATTTTCTTAAAAATTGCAAGAAAAAAATTTGTTCATTTTTACCTAAACGACTCGTCACTTTTAAACCATTCGTTTTCATAGGCGTGCATCCAAATTGGATTTGAACCCTCGACACTGTGTTTATTTGTGTTAGGAACTCTACCAGGACCTCTGACAAATTCCGAGTCGGTCGCGCCTATAAAAAATTATTAATTAATTACTTTTTTTGTATATCATTATTCAGGTTTGACACAGGACAGGAAATTCAGTGAAAGGTTAGGAAAAATTGAATTGGTCAGGGAAATTAGGGAAAAGTCAGGAATTTTTATTAAAAGTAGGGGAGACTGGGATAAACCCGCTCACTTTTTTTCAGATCGGTAAAAATCTAGGAAATTATTCTCTAAATCCAAGTTAATTTATATCATTTGAAAGCTTATGATTTCTACTAAAAAAATAAAAACAAATGTTTGCTTTATCTTTTTTAGTTTTACTTAGAGAAAATTTTTAATTCACATATACCAAATTTCGAATTCACAATTTTCCAGGGTAAACCCGCTCACTTTATCTTTTTAAGATGTAACAGTTTTATTTTTTAAATATTAAAATTCATCTTATTCCCGTCTTAAGTATGATTTATTATTGATAAACTATAAGTTCTATAAACAATTCTATAAACAAGAAATTGGTTTAATGAATAATGAATATAGGTTTCATGAATTTCAACTATGGATTTAAATAATGTTATATTTTATTAAGTGAAAGTGAACTGTTGTTACAATTTTGGTTTTAACAAGTCATAAATTTTGTTATTGTTAAAATATAATACGTGAAATTATTTTGTTCTAAATTTTTAATTTAAAACTAAGTGAGCGGCTTTACCCCGACTTCACGTGGGCGACTTTACCCCGAGTGTATTCCTCATATTTCAGAATAAATTTAATTAAATCTTTTTGAAATGAGACAAAACTATATATGTACTTCGAAGTAGGAAAACCAATAGCAACAAAAAAAATTTGACAAATAAATTAAGACTCCAAAATAATGATCGAAAAACTTTAAAATTCAAAAAACGTTTTTTTTTCTGACACCTCTAAAAACATTTGATCGACTCTGATTCTGTGTTGAATTTATGAAACTAAACGAAAGTTCGTTAATATAAGTTGAATGTTAAGTACTATTCACAGTACCAATATCTCTATCTTACGTTGAGTTCATAGCGTCAAATCGTTAGTGAGCGGGTTTACCCCAGTCTCCCCTACTGGAAAAAATTATTCAATTTTTAGGATTCTTAAGAAAATTCTGAATTTTTGTGACTTTTTTGTTTGACACATAAACTATAAAATTACCTCGAATTCTATTACAAAACCTTCAATTTTTTCTATTTCTGCCAATAATTTCTTTTTAAATAACATAATTCTTGAACATACACTGAGAAAAATGGATATTAAGCCTTATTATCTAGATATTAAGGGGTCTTGTAACTTTTTTAGCACTAAAATCGGATGATTTTAAAAAATTTTTTGCTCATAAGTTTTAAAATATAATTGATCGAAAGTTTTTACATGTCATTGTGTATGTTAAGAAGTTTTAAAAAAAGGATTTCAGATTGGAAAAAATATATATACCTTCCTTCTACAGAGGGCGCTTTGTCTACTGGTAAAAATTACTTTCAATTACGGTTGTCTATGTAGCTCATAGCAGAATCATTGAAAAAAAAAATCAAACATAATTTCAAAATAGATGACTTAATACAGGACCTAAACCTCGAAATACTTAAAAATATCAAAAATTAAGAAAATGGCAAGCTTTTGAATCTAAGAATCTGAAAAAACGCAATTTTTTTTAACATAAATGATACACAAAAAGTGTAATTTTGTACATTAGTAGTAAATAAGAGGTTTAGGTCCTGTATTAAGTCGTCCATTTTGAAATAAAATTTGATTTTTTGATTTTAGACGATTCTGCTATGAGCTACAATGACAACCAATAATTTTTACCAGTGACCAAAGCGCCCTCTGTAGAAAGAAGATACTTATGTTTTTTCAAATATGAAATTCTTTTTTTAAGACTTCCTAACATACACAATGATATGTAAAAACTTTTGATCAATTATATTTTAAAACTTATGAGCAAAAAATTTTTTAAAAACTTCCGATTTTAATGCCTAAAAAAGTTACAAGACCCCTTAATGGTCAATATCTGTGACAGTGAACTATGTAAACTTCTTAGATGTTCAAATTTAATATCTAAGATATTGGACAAAGACTTGTTCAAACATAACCTAACATTTACAGATTATACTTTTTAACATCTGAGATATTAAACCATAATGAATAATTTTACTTAAATATTTTTAAATTATAATACAATTTTAAAAGAGTTGCGTTTACATTTTTCGTAAATAGATGAATTTCAAATGGGTTTCAATTTGAAATTTAATAAAATTTTAATTTTGAATGATTTTAATCAGAAATTTTAAAGAACTTATAAAGTTTTTAAAAAATTATAATAATTCAAATTCTTCTAAAATTAGTAAAAAATTTCTAATATATATTTAAATAATTATTAAAAATAATGGATTTTTAGAAGAATTTTTGTTAAGGGCATTTGAACCATTATGACGTCTCACTTTGTGCAAAACATGTGTTTGAAAACTGTGACGTCATCGTGGTTCAAATGCCCTTAATAACACTATAAAAATTGAATTTTGGAGAAGTTACATGAGATTGTACAAATTTAATTATTTTCAAAAGTAATAAAACTCTTAGCAGAAATTCATAATTATGTTCAAAAATTTTAAAAAATTCATTTCAAATTTCAATTTAATGAATTAGTAAATTTGTACCAATTTAACTAATTTTTAAGAAAAACTACTGATTAAAGTACCTAATAAAAAATATTTTTCTGTTAATCACGGGTTAATCGTGGCGAACATAGTATATAAAATGATCAGCAACTAAAATTAATTTAAAAAATGTTGTTACTTATTGATATTTAGAAATTGTTGAATATAAATTTTATTGAAAAATTTACCAAATGGAGTGGCATTGGCAGCTTTGAGTTTACGTTGAAACGAAGCCCTTTGAGAGAGACACAGTGCAATGCAAAGTATCAATAGTGCCCCCAAGAAGAGAGTTATTGCCAATAGCCAAAAAGTGGTGCCTGCCTGTTCATATTGAATTATCGGCTGCGCCTGTGCTGCTTGTGTATCAAGAACATTAAAATCTTTAAAAAGTTCGTCCAATTTTTCAATGTTACGATCGATTAGCTCCAAAACCTCTGACACTTCTAAAATTGAATTGTCCTGACGATTCACCAAATGAAGATATAAATCAGTCCTTGTTCTGTCAACAGATCCATCTTGATTTTCGTGAATTTTGTACTCGTCTACGTTTACAATTGCGCCCGTTACATTTCCCAGAATTCTGCAAGAATTTTTTATTTTTTGTTGAGCTTTTATACAATTGTTAGTTCGATTTTTCAATTAATTTTACTAAAATAAAGATTAAATGCTTTTCACCACACACTGAGAAAACGATACCCAATTAGCACGTAATGTTCCAGTAACATTAACAACATTAAGGCAATATTGGTAATGTTAAGGCAGTGTTCTCAATATTGCTGTAATATTACGTGCTACTGGGGTACAATCAAACATATTTAAGTCTAATTGAAACATATTTTTGGTTTATTTAAAGAAATAATATTTTTAATTCAAACATAAGTTATGGTTGATTTTAAATTATTTATAATCAATTTTTAAGTTTGATTCAAACATAAAATTTATAAACATAATTTTTGTTGAAATCAAAACAGAAAATATGTTTGCGAATTAAATATTATTATATTTTATTTACTCTCCCTGATTAATTATGCAGGGTTCGAGGAACCATAATACAAAAATTCTTAACCTAATATACAATCTTTTAACTTAACTTAACCTAATACAACAATCTTATTTCCTAATTATTCGCTGGTACCGGGCTTTCGTTTCCCGTTCCATTTGGCTTCGTCAAACTTTAAAATTTATTTTAACTTCGTTCCCACCCTCTTTATCTTTAATTAACCTTAATATTTGATCTCATATTGTGAGAATATTTGTTCTAATTCATTCATCCATTTCTCACCTTGCCCATTCTCATCCAGTATCCATCTTATCCTTTCATCCACACCTTTTTCATTCTCTCCACCACTTGTACATCTATCTAAAACATGTTCCCAATCCTCCAACTCAAAGCCACATGCCCTACACAATCTCTCACTCTCATTCATCTAATATTTACATTCACGCATTCCTTCCCCCATTCTAAACCTTATCATTCTGTTCCATCTCTTCTCCTACCTTATCCTCTTTAAGTATTGCAATATATAATTTCCTCTTACCCTGCCAAAACTCTTTCCCAATTGTTTCTCCTATTCTAACCTGCGCTCTCACATCCGTATACATTTCTTTGATCCTTTCCGCAATCACATCTTTAATCCCTCTTTCCTTTAATGATCTCCACAATATACTCCTATTCACAGACGGAAACGCAGCCTTAAAATCTACAAAAAGGGCTATTAATTTGCCCCTTTCTCTCTCAGTTTTCTATTCACTAAGTAATTGAGGGTATATATAGTCCATTGTGCCCATATCCTTCCTGAACCCAGCCTGATTGTGTGGAATACTTCCTTTTTCAAACCTTTTCCTGAGTATCTCCGCATATACCTTATAGCTCACTGGCATTAAAGTAATGCCTCTGTACTCCTCTATTTTCTCTCCTTCCCCTTTTTTGACCAGCAGTACAATCAGGCCCGTTTTCCATTCCTCCGGACATCCATTTCCTTTCCACACTTCGTTGACAATTTCCCATATCACCCTTCTCACCTTTTTACCCCATATTTAATACCTTCTCTCTCCATCTCGTCTTTTCCCACAGCCTTATTCCTCTTCAGCTTGTCTATCGCATCATCTACTTCTTCCCTTGACACCTCTTCCACATCATTCTCTCTCACCATCCTTCTTCCTTCCCCTCTTACTTTTTGACCCGTTCCCCCACACATGTCCATAAAATAGCTAGTCCACTCCTCTATTTTAATCTTCTTATTTATAGGTTTCTCCTTCTTTCTTTCTTTGTTTATTACCTCGCATTCTTTACCATTCCTGCACTGCTTTTTCCGCTTCCTCCATAAACCTCTTCTTCTCCGTTTCTCTTTTTCCCTTTAATAATTTCTCGTGATCTTTGTGTCTCCTGTTGTATTCTTTTCTTTCAATTTCACCGTTCCTCCATTCTTTAATGTATCCTTTCATTCTTTTCCTGCACTCTTCACATTCATTATCCCACCATTTTCTATATCCTAACTCTTGCGCTTCTACATCCCCCATTTCTTTTTTCACTTTATCGGTCTTGTCTCTTATTTTTATTATTTTACTATCCACTCCCTCTTCATCCTCACACTCTTCCATTTCTCTCCACATTCTTTCCTGGAATTCGCCTAGCCTCTCCACATTCCATTTACCCATTTTAATTTTAATTTGTTTACCAACCCCTTTGTCCAGTCCACTTCTTCTTTTCTTTTTCCCATCCCTTAATTCTACAACCAGAGGAAAATGGTCAGACCCTATTTCTCTTTCTACCTTCATTTTAATGATTTTATCCCTTCCCTTGTCATCTGTCAGCATGACAGAATAATTTCTCGTTATAGGTATTAGGTAATCTATAACGGTTTCTCCTTTTCCTCTATAGGTGAAATTTCCTTCCTCGTCTCCTCTCATATTTCCATTGGAGATGGACCATCCATGTTCTTCCAACAATTGTAGTAGCCTCTTACCCTCTTTATCCACTTTCTTATGTCTGGAAACTCTGCTATGTTTCTCCAACTCTGCATTCCATAAACCACCCCCTAATTCCTCGGTCCTTGCATTTAAATCCCCCCCAATGATTACATTTTTGTCCTTTCCTTTTTCCATCCAATCTTTAATTATTCCCCATTCCTTTTCATCACCTCTTCTTCTAAAAATTCCCACTATGTCTATCGTTTCCCTACCTCTTTTAATACTCCTCACTATACCATTTTCGTCCACAATCGTGCAATCCTTTCTTACTTCCCTAACCTCTTTTCTTACCCCTGAAATAATCCCTCCTGATCCTCTTCCTCTTTGTCCATCTCTCTTCGCTTCCTGTATTTTCCATCTGTACCCTTTTGGTAATATCCTTTCTTTTTTCTTCAAATCTTTCCTTTCCACCCACGACTCGCTAAGAAACAACACGTCCCATTTCTCTATCGTTCTCCGTTTTGTCCTCTTCTATAATTTCTTTACTACCTTTCAACTTATTTTTTGCCGAGATGACCTCCATTCTTTGCTCTTCATTCTCCATTTGCACAATCCACACTTTCGGTTTCTCTTTATCCTTTAATCACAATATTATTCTTTCTCTTTTTCTGTCCTCTCCATCCATCTTGAAACCTCATTCATTTTTTCTTCCAGTACCAATCCTTCCTGATTTTTTATACCTCCTTCTGTCCCTGTTTCTAGGTTAGTAATCCTCTTTCTTAGTTCCCCTATTATTTCTCTTGACTCTCTCACTTCTTCTTTTACCATATTTAATTCCACTTCCATGTCTACTTCGAGGTCTACTTCTATATATTTCTGCCCTTTTTCTAATTTTTCGTACATTTTCTCCTTTTCTTCACTCTATTTTCTTTCCCATTCTTCACACATTTTCTTAACTTTACCTATTTCACTACTCAATCCTTCAAAGACACTGTCCATTTTTTGTCCAAATTTTTATTAATTTTCTCTATACAGATATTCGTATTTTCCCCCATTTTCTTTATTAATTCCTCTAATTGTAAGCCACCTAACTCTCTAACTTCTTTTTTAGCTTTAATTTCTCTTTTCTTGTCTAATTCTTGTTTCCCTTTCTCTTTGTTTTTATTAAAATCTTTTTCTCCTGATTTCTCTTTTAAGGCAAATTTTTCTATCATTTCAGAAGAAAACCCTGCACCATATAGTCGCTGCGTTCTTTGAAAATTAGTCAGCCTTCCTGGTTTCAAATTCGCATTAGATTCGCCCGGCACAACATCATCTGTCAACGATAAACTCCTGCCTGCTTTCAGGTTCCCCTCAGGCCCCTTCATCGCTTCTTTTTCCTTCAGTGACTCGAGTAGTTCCCATTCTCCCTGATCTACTAATGTCTCTCCCCGCTCTCCCCTATCATTCTTCTTACTTTTCTATACAATCACACCACACTTTTCATCAGGGGCGTAGCCAGAAATAAGTTTCGGGGGGGGTTATGAAATTTGATTAGAGGTATACTCAGAAAAAACTAGCACTTATATAGGTTTTCCAAGATTTCGGGGGGGGTAACCCCCAAACACCCCCCCCTGGATACGCCACTGCTTTTCCTTCAAACTTTTTCACACACTTGACACACAATTCTTTCTTTAACACTTTTATACACTTCAAATTATCCAACCCTTAATTATAACCTTTTAAATTGGTTAAAAAACTTCACAAATCCCAAACGCAACTAAACTGTATCGGTACCGGAAACGGAAGCCTTGTTTGCGAATTAAATATAATAAATCAAACAAAAAATATTTTTGAATCAAAGCAGTAGATATTTTCTATATATTAGAATTAACCTTATAAACTAATTTCAATTAAACAAAATCACTTAAAATTATTTTTGTATTGGAATTAAGTATAATGTTTTCTCAGTGCAGAGTAATAACTCAATTGATATAAAATCAGTTTGTTTTTATAAATTTTTCATATTACAAAATAAAATTACCCTCTGAAATTTTCTATTCGATTTCTAACTTCCGGTGGATGTTGTCGTAAAACGAATCTCACTCTCTGATCCTCCCGCAGTAAGTAAATGAATACTCGCGCTGTGTCTTGAAGTCCATCAGTGTCATTTGCCAAAACCTTGTCGATAATTTCAATTATTTAATTTATTTTACTTTATTTAGAATTAAATTTAATGGAAAATTATTTATTTTATTTTACTTTATTAAAATTAAATTTAATAGAAAATAAATATAGGTATATCTACTGTTGGTGAACGTACCATAAAATCAAAATATCCCTTCATTCCTCGTTGTGGATCGAAATTTAAACTCACAGCTCCGGTTAATTTGTCAATTAAAAATGGTTGAATTCTTATATCGTCCAATCCTTCTGTGAGAGTCATTTGAATTTTTCCAATTTGATAGTAATTAACATTGGAATTTTCTTCCATATCCAAGTCTACTGCCTAGAAAAATTATTTATACTCTCTAAATTTGAATTCGTAAAAATTTTTACTAATTTTAATTAATCACTAGGTAATTCAAATTAGTGAACATTTTTACTAATTCAAATTAAGCGAGTTTTTACATTTACATTTAATAAATAGTAATAAATAATAATAAATAAATTATTAAATTACTATTCTTATTTATAAATTTTTATTGACTTTAATTTGATTAATTAAATTAACTATTCATTTGATTTAAAATTAAAGTTTCTAATTGTTCCGTTTGAGATAATTAAGGATAATTAAATTTAAATTATTTTTGAGTCAATAAAATAGTTAAATAGAACAAATTTAAATTCATTTAAATTAGAATTAATTAAACTAAATGAACTGAATTAGTTAAGATTCATTTGAATAAAAATAGTGTAATTAAATTAGTTTAAATTAGAATTGAATTAATTTCGCAATCAATTAAAATATAATGTTTCATAATTAATGTTAATTAATGTTCCATAATTAAAATTTGCAACATTATAAAAATTTAACGTTTTTAACTATTCCAATTACTTTAACATTCATGAACTGAGTTCCAAAATCAGCTTCGGTTGTTACTCCTCCCGTAAAAACTTTACTGATGAATTTTGGCGGATTGTCATTAATGTCGGTTACAGTCACGACAACTTTCAGTAAAGTATCATCGCTATCATTAAAATAATTCTGATTTGGTGGTTGATTACTGCAGTCCTCGGTAACTTTTATTAAAAGCACATGTTCTTCCACTTTTTCTCTATCCAACGACTCTAATATCTGGAAAATTATTTACTTTAGTAATAAAATTAGTTTAATAAATAATTAATTATTAATTATTTAAATTAATTAATAATTAATTTACCTGTGTAATTCACTTAACTATTAACAGGGTTGCCACAGGTCAGGGAAAGTAGAATAAGTCAGGAAAATCAGGGAAAAATTCAGGAAATTTTATTAAAGTACTGGAAAAAAATTAATTTTTAGAATTCATAAGAAAATTTGGAATTTTGGGGTCTTTTTTGCTAGGAAAATACCACGAATTCTATTAAATATTGGAAAAGTTACAAACAATTGTAATTTTTTGAAATAATTGAAATTTGAAAAGATTTCAAATTTAAATCTTTTACAACCTAAATTTTTCGTTCTTTTAATTATTAAAAATTCCGTAGAACTAATTTTTTTTTGAAAAAAATTAATTTTAATTCTGTTGAAATTAGTTTCTTGATAAATAACAAAAATTCTTCCTACAAATTCAATTTAATTTCAATTCTGTTGAAATTAGTTTCTTGATAAATAACAAAAATTCTTCCTACAAATTCAACTATTCAATTATTTTCACTAGAATTTAATTAGTTACAACATTTTAATAAAATTCTTCGCAAGAATTCAAATAGACATTTATTTCCATAATTATTAAAATTCTTCTCAAGGATTCAATTATTTTAATAAATAATAAAACTCTGTTTAGGAATTTCATTACATTTTATAAATTAAAAAAAATAAAACTCATTGCAGATTTTCAATTATTTTTAATAGGTACAATTGTAAATAAATTCCTCGAAAGAATTAAATTATTTAAAAAATTTTTGCTAAAATTCTTTATAATAATTCAATTTTAAGAATTTTCTAATAAAAATTGATTTAAAAATAATTGAATTTCGAAAAGGCTTCAAAGTGAATCTTTGAAAATCTGAATCATTCGTAATTCCGTAGAACTATTTTTTTTAACAATTTAATTCCCATTCTTTTGAAATTAGTTTATTTTTTAAAATATTTAATTATTATTAGTTATTACAAATAATTGATTTAAACAATAATTTTTGTTAAAAACTCAAAAAAATTAAATAATTGCAATTTTAAGAAATAATTGTATTTTCTATTTTGAAAATGTTTCAAATTAAAATCTAAATTTTTCGTACTTTTAATTAACAATTCTTTCAAACTAATGTTATTTTTAAACTTTAATTAAAATTTTTTTTGAAATTATTTTAAATTAAATTAAATTAATCGTAATCAAGGATTAAAGTTATTTTAAAGTGGTAATTACTTACTGTTAACTCGTGTGTTTTATTGTTCAAATGAAAAAGACCTTCGTCATTCCCAGCGATAATGTAGTAGCAAACTTGAGTCGGAGGATCGTCAAGATCGTCAACCTCATCTCTGTCAATTGTTTCAGGTAGAATTATTTTTTCCATTCCTGGTAATTCTTCTTCAGTGAAATTTACTTTAAATACATTCACCAAAAATTGCGGCTCATAATCGTTTATATTTCGCACATAAATTATTAAGTCAAGATCAGAACTCAATGGCGTTGGTTTTCCCATGTCGTAAGCTTCAATTCGAATCTAGCAAGAAATTGATAATTTTATTTGTAAATTACATTTTTCAATTAATGTAAATGAAATGAAAACATTTTTACACAAAATTGAAAATGAGTAGAAGTAAAAAAGAAGTTAAAAGTAAAGGTAAAAACAATTTTTAAATATAAAATTATATTTTTCTTAATTGATTGGTTAATTAGATATAATAAACTAATTAGTTTATTTATTCCTTAATCAGTTATTGTATAATAAGATAATGAATTGGTAATTAATTAATTTATTTAATCAGTTAACCAACCGAATAGTTAATTAATTAACTAATTAATAATAGTTAATTAATATTTACTAAGAATTAATTATTTTTTTGATTAAATTAAACATTTTCATTAAAAAATTTTTTTTTCTGAAATTCATTTTTTGATTTAATTAAAATTTGATTTGTATATTAATGAAAATAAATTGAAGTCTCGTAACTAAATAATTTGAGATAGGTATACAATTATTTTATGAGTTAGCAAGTATTTGTTTGAATTATAAAATTATTCTGCCAATTACAAAATATTATGTAATTATATAGTAAAATGACTTTTATGAGTTACAAATTTTTCTAATTGCAAGAGATATAAAACTATTATTTTATTTTATACCCAGGCGCGAAGTGACGCCGAGTTCAGGCTTTATAAAGATTGGCCGAGCATTGGTCAACATTGATTGAGCATGAGTGAATCAGCGAGAGCAGGACTGATCGAAGCTTTAATGTAACACCGATTCCAGACTGCAGCGCGAGCCTTGATTCAGCATTGGACATCAATGCTCAATCAATGCTGCGGACGCCTAACGCAGGACTGAAACAAGACTGCTTCCACTGTTCCCAAATTTACTCGTTTCTCACGTTTATTCAATATAATGTGAATATATGAATTATTAATAATAATAATAAATATTATTGTTATTATTTTAATTCATGTGCGTATATATACATATATATTTAATGACAATAAGTTATTATTTGTAATAATTATATTATTTTCATATAAATAAGAATATATGTATATTACTAACAATAAATATCATTTGAATAGTAATTTTAAAAAAATAATTTTAGTAAAAAAAGACAATTTTTCTGTTAATCGTTACATTTTTTTCTTGATTTTTAACAGACTTTTAACATTATTTATAAACATGTTCACATTTTTTATTCACAACACACAATTTTATTATTTTATGTAAACGCTTATAACAAAGAATGAAAAATATTCGCTCGCATGTGGGATCGAAACTCACGCACCCCGCCCCCCTAACGCATACCGGAAGTTCTCAACGCACGCATTTAAACCGCTCGGCCACAGAAGGCTGGAAGGCTTCTCGCCTAATCTACTATATCAATGCCAGTGCCGTCACTCAGTATGGGACACCAATGTTCGTCCCATGCTCGATTCAAGACTCGGTCAATCTTGTTACAATATTCAATTCCTTTATTGCCGTGTGCACTGTACAATATTAAATATAAATATTTATAAATTATTTAATATTAAAATATTTCTTCTGATAATTTTATAAGTTAAATTATATATTATTTTTTTTCTCGCACAGCGTCAAATTATTATTTTCAAAGTTCAAGAGTTTCGTTTATCTGTAAAATTTTCAGTGAAAAAAATGTTCATTAGGTAGTAGTAAATATTTATGCCTAGTAGTTTTACACTAGGATTAACTGTTTACTGAATATTATCAAAAATATATTTTTCGTCAAACGCGCGCGACTAAACACAAATAACCTTGAGACTTTACAGCGCGACGTTGCGATTGTCGTGCTCCCACCATCCCATCTACTCAATACACTCCCCGCCTGTGACGTCATGAGGGGAAAGCATTGAGTAGATGGGATGGTGGGAGCACGACAATCGCAACGTCTCAAGGTTATTTGTGTTTAGTCGCGCGCGTTTGACGAAAAATATATTTTTGATAATATTCAGTAAACAGTTAAACCTAGTGTAAAACTACTATAGGCATAAATATTTATTACTACCTAATGAGCATTTTTTTCACTGAAAATTTTTCAGATAAACGAAACTCTTGAACTTTGAAATAATAATTTGACTCTGTGCAAGAAAAAAAATAATATATAATAATTTAACTTTATTGATATGAATCTTATGTAATTAATATAAATATTATACACTAAATAAATATTAATATTTATTTACCAATTGATATCTTAATAACAATAATAATAATACTTATTATATTATTTAATAATAATTAATAATAATAATTTTTAAATAGTATAAAAAATTACTAAAAATTATCAGAAATAATATTTTAATATTAAATAATTTATAAGTATTTATATCTAATATTGTTAAGTGCACACGGTAATAAATAAACTATCAAGATTGATTCAAGCTTGAATAAAGACTGGATGTTGAAGCTCCACTCACGAAGATTGACCGAGTGTTAAATCGAGCATGGGACGAACATTGGTGTCCCATGCTGAACCAATATTGAGTGACAATGATATAAAGACTGCTTCAACTCTGGGTTACCCACGCTGGGCGTTCAAGACTCAGTCAAGTTTCAACCCATCGTCAGCACTGGTCTTTCGCGCCTGGGTAAATATTAATTGCATATTTTTTATAATGTAATTAAATTATAAATTATAATTTTTTAATTAAATTAAAATTTAATTTGTATTAACGAAAATAAATTTTGAATAAAGAATGAAAGCACATAAAAATTCGAAATAAATATTTAAATGAACCTCGTATAATTTTTGAATTTCTCGATCCAAGGGAAATTTTAGTGTGACAAGACCAGATTTTTCCTGAATATCAAAAGTACGCCAGTGACCGGCCAGATCTTGCTTTAATCGAAAATGAACATCTCCATTTGGCCCAGTATCGGCATCTTGAGCCTCAACTTGAATTATCGCCGAACCCACTGTTATATTCTGCAAAGAAAAAATAATTTTCAATTTTACTTGAATTTTAATAATAATAACAACAACAATAATATTATTTAATTTACCAATATTGTAATTTAATAAAAATCTAATTTTTTATATTATAATTTCTAAAAAAATAGAAATAGAGTACAAAATAAAAATAGCAAAATTTTTAAAAATATGTTAATTTACTAATACGAATTTTTTTGCTCTTTTGGCTTTGTTATTATAATTTGGCCTTCACCTCCGGAACTCGTATTGTAGTATTATGTTGGGGACTGATAAATATCGGTGGATTGTCATTGTAATCAGTAACACAAATATTCAAAATGGCATTATCTGATTTGGCTGGACTGCCAAGGTCACTGGCATCAAGATATAAAGAATAATTTCCAAATTTCCCTCTCAATGATTTCGACGCTTTTATTCTCGCAGTCCAATAATCAATTTGCTCCAATAAAAATAAACCTATACAAACAACAAAAATTCTTTTTTATTTTCTTGTTTTTTACTTACAATTATTTTTTTTGAAAATCGTTTAACAATAATTTTCATTAACAACAAAATTTCATTAAATTATTAATTAGAATAGGTATTAATTAATTTTAATTAGTAAATTATTATAAATTATTATAAATTAATATTAATTAATAATAATTATTTATAAATTATTAAGTAATTAATTATTATTTATTCAATTATATTTTCTTCATTTTTATATTTTTACTTAAAATGTTTTTAAAAATCGTTTAACAATAATAATTAATTAAATTGTTAATTAGGATATCTCTTAATTATTAATAACATATTAATTCATTATTATTTATTTATTTATTACTTAATTAAATATTTATTTATTAATTATAAATCAATTATTAATTAATTAAATATCTATTTATTAACTATAAAATAGGTAATTATTAAGTACCGTAAGAGAGGCTAATTTCGCTCATTTAGGGTAAATTCCCTCAACAGATATTTATTTTTTAAAATCCGATTAACATAGTTTTTGGACAGAAATATTTAAGATTTACAATTTATTGTTTTGGTTAATATAAATGATAAACTTTCATTTAAAATTTATTTGCAGCAGATTCATTGGTAACTTTCAATAAAAATTATATTTAAAACACAATTGAATAATTTTCATATTGAACAAGTAGTATGAAAAGATAGGGAATAAAGCTTTATTTCGAAATTTTTAAGTTGAATCCTTCTGAACATTACATTTCTAAAAAATAAACAAAAAGCAATAAATAGATTCTGCAAAAAATCAATTTAAAAAAAAATTCAAAGTAGTGTAAATTCGCTCAGGAAATAAGTCTACGAAAAATATGCTTGGGTCTGGATATTTTAAGTATGTTAATTATTTTAATTTATAATTTGATTTTTTTTATTAATAGTACTCTTATAACTAAAAAATAAACGATTTAAAATGGTTTAAGCACTAAATTGTCAAACTTAACCTTATTTTTTATGGTTATGAGTACGTTTAATTGAATGTTTGAATTTAATTCCTTATTAATAAAACAATATTAAATATTTATTCCAATAACTTTGGACATTGTTCTTAATTGTTTTCTTTATTGATTCTAAAGAATATTTAGTTTTATTTTTGCAGATTATAATATATTTGCCAGAATAATAATGGTGAGCGAATTTACCCATCCTTTAAAGGTAAAGTCGCTCAACAACAAAACGGATTATAAATAATTTTCTGCAACATATTTTAATTTGTTTATGCAGTAATAGGAAAGAGAAAGGGTTAGAGATTATATATTTTCAGTGCCAATGTTTATTTTCTTCGTTTCCCGAAGTTATTCCAAAAAGAATTGAAAAATTTAGCGAAATTAGCCTCTTTTACGGTATCTACCTAATTAATTATTATTCTTAGTGACTTGCAAAATTACGGACTTCAGAGTATTAAATTAATAAGGGGCCGTCCATAAACCACGTGGACACATTTGGGGGGGCGGGGGGGTGAATCAAAAGTCCACGTTTGTCCACGAAGGGGAGGGGGGGTGTTAAAGCAAATGTCAACGTGGACATATAATCAAAGATATTTCCAAAAAAGATATCTTAAGCTTAATCAGAATGATCATAAGTTTCAGTTAATCAATTTCCCTGACAATTTACTGATATTAAAATTAATTTCCCTGACAAAATTCTTTTTACAGGAAAATATGAATGTTTACGGAAAATGAGTAACATTTATGATTTTAATTATTTTTTAAAATGACAATTATAACCCTTCCTGAATTCAATTATTTTCTACAATTTCCACCCAGTAAAAAAAAGTATTGGAAGAGAGCGAATAGTATTGTCGGTGAGTTTCTGCCAATACGGTTTTCACGCGAAAACATATTGGCAGAAACTCACCGCCAATACTATTCGCTCTCTTCCAATACTTTTTTTTACTGGGCAACTAAACCTTCGTCTTTGAATCAATTAATTTAAATAATTTTCCGAAAGTTCTTCTAAAATTCTGTTATATTTTTAAATTATTGTTGAATTTGATTGATAAATTTTAATTAAAAATTTTTAACATGATTGTTTCCTCTCAAATGTTAAAAATAATTTTAAAATGTTATTTTTTTGTATATATTTGAATTTTTGAAAATATGTAATTGAGAATATTGAATTTTAAAAAATTAGAAGCTAATTTTCATTAATTTTCATTTTTAAATTTACCTTTAAAGATTTTTTATTCTACAAAAATTGTAATGAAAGACTTAAAATAAATTAATTATTTTCAATTAAATTTTACAAAATTTCAACTATTCAAAAAGATTTGTTTATACAGGGTGGCCATTTTTTTGTAAAAAAAAATTCACGGTCATTTCCCGGTCATAAATTATTTTTCCCGGTCATAAATAATAACTCTGAAAATAAATTATTCCATGAAAGATTGAAAGAATTTCCTGATTTTTAGACAAAACTTTGACTTTTTCCTAAAACCTAAAAATATTTTAGTTTACTCTAAAAATAATTTTGAACTTAAATAGATTTTTTGAAATAAATATTTAATTATTATCCATTATTTTTCCATATAGTAGGTATTCAAATTTAAAAAAAATTCAAATTTTAAATCCTTTAAATTTGAATAATTTTTAAGAATTGCTACTGTAACTTATTAACAATTATTTTCAAAATTTCAATTCAATTATATTCTAGAAATAACTAAAATATTTCTAAAATCCACTTGTTTACAAGACAATTTCATGAAATTTTGAATAATTTAAAAATTTTTCAATTAAATATTAGGTACATATTTAAAAACATAACTAATTTGAAAAAAATGTGAATAAAAATATTTTTAAAAACTGACTTATTCAGAATTTTTAATTAAAATCTTTTAAAATTCAACTTTTCTAAAACTTAAATTTGAAATTTTTTAAAATTCAATCTATAATAATTATTAATTTAACATTCTAAAATATAGAAAAGTTTGCTTATCAATAATTGCAAAAAAAAACTAATTGATAGTAATGCAAAATACGATTTTTTAAAAATTTATTTTCTAAAAAAAGAAATTTTATTTATTTTTATATACATTATTTATTATTCTAAAATTAATTTTTATAAATTTCGTATCACTTTTGTTCTAATTAGTTCAAATTTTTAATAATTCTTATTTGTTTTGTTATAATATTATTGCAAAAAAATTTTTAAATTGATTTATTTTTCACTATTCTATAGGATGTGAAATTTTTTCTCATTGAAATTTTTTTGACAAGTTTAATTAAAATTATATTTTGTTTAATTATTGTTAGAAATAGAAAGAATTTAAAATTAAATTTAATATTTTCTTTTTCTAAATCTGTTACGTTGGACAGCAAAATTCATAATTTTCTTATAAATTCTAGAAATTGAATATTTTTATAGTACTTTTTATAAAATTCTCTGACAAAATATAAATAGATTTTATAGAAGATCGTTCAATCTTTTTTAATGAAATATAGTTAATACCTAAGTCTTGAAATAAATATTTTTATTTTTTCTCACAAAATAATGTGTGTTTTTAAAAAAAAATCCAAAATCCCGGTCAAGTTCAAAATTCATTGTCATTTCCCGGTTTTCCCGGTTTCCCGGTCCAGCGGCCACCCTGATTATAGTTATTTTTCACATTATAAAAATCAAAATAACTTGTACTTTTTTTTACTAAAAATTGTGGTATTTTTCGCAATTATTTTAAATGAGTCGAAAAAAGTCACAATTTTCTTAATTTCCCCGACAAAATTTTTTCCTGACATTTCCCTTACTTTACTGACATTCTTGCTTTGAAATATGTTCAAAAATAATCTTTTTTATTTTTTAACATACAGGAGTAAAAAAAACTTATTTTTTTAATTTGCAATATCCACGTGGACAATTGTATAGGGGGAGGGGGTTTGACAAATGTCCACGACTGTCCACAACGGGGGGCGGGGGGGGTCAAAAATTGGTGAAAAATTGTCCACGTGGTTTATGGACGGCCCCTAAGATACTATTATTAATTATTGAAATAAAGGTTTTAAAAAGGATGTTTTTTAGATTATAAAACAAAATTTTGTAACGTTCTCTTTAGTTAAATAATAATCAATTAATGCAATAATTTCTTGCAACAAGAAAAATTTACCCATTTCATTGCCACTGAGTATTTTTATTGAGACTCGTCCGTTTGATGTCAAAGGATTGTCTGCATCCTTCACTTTAATCACTGCCACATTTTCTCGCATGTCATGAAATTCGGAAATAGTTGTGCAATCCTTGGGAATTTCAATTTTTGGTGCATTATCGTTAACGTCAATTACAATTACTCTGCAGAAAAGAGAATATCAACAAATAAATAATCAGTTTTGTCATAGAAGAATGGAATAGAATTTGTTCGAATGTTTTTCATTCAAATTTAATATTCTTATTTACAATTTTTTACTTTTAATTAATAAATTAATTAATTGATTAATTAACTAATAAATGAATTAATTGTGTAATTAACTAATAAATAAATCAATTGAGTTATTATTGAAAATGCACGATTTACTGCGACCAAAAGCTAATTAGAGCGATTATTCAATAAATTAGTTTGAAATTACAATAAAAATCAAACGGTCGCTAATTTTTCAAAATCCTTTGGGGATTTTACTCTGCTGGGGTAGTTCTTTTATCCCATTATAGTCAAATCTTAACCCATTTTTTGGTGTTCCACTGTGTTATTTAATTTAGTAATTAACTAATTAATAATATTCATTATTTAAATATTAGTTTGTGGATTATTTATATAAGCTAATTAGATATAAATTTAAAATGTTTTTTTTATAATAGAAATTGAATTTTTTGTGAGAATAAAGAAAACATCGGCTCATTAAGAGTGATTGAAACTGATTCTTTCGGCACACCTGTGTTGGAGACTTTCAATTACAATTAGCATTAAAATAAATTTGACATTAAGTGCAAATTATAATATAAGAGGCAAATTCACCGGAACTTACTCGATTTGCTTGAAAGCATTTCTTGATTCTCCTGCCGTGTAACCAAATTGATAATTGTCCCAGGCCTCTACGACAAGAACATAATTACTCTTTGTTTCCCAGTCAAGCGAATCTGCAACGGTCAAGGAGCCAGTTTCCGGATGAATGGCAAACTTTCCCTAAACATATCACAAAACAAATTATTTTTTTCTTTTTGGTATATTTCTAAACAAAATTTTTCCTTTTTCGTTTTTTAAATGGAGAAAAAAGTTTTTAATAGCAAATTTCGTTTTTCCTCTCTTTTTCTCTACTGTAAAATATTTTTAGAAATTATTTTTCAAAATTTGCAAAGAAATTCGCTTGAAACTTGTTACTCTAAGGTTTTTGTGATCGCTAATTATTAACGAGTCTGATATCAGATTTTCAAAATTCAAAATGGCGGATCTAATATGACAGACTTGTTTTTTAAAATTATTCCGATTTTTTTTAAACTTCGGTAGTTTTTGGAGTTGCTGATTACGAATATTATATATTCAATTTTTGATAGAGGCTTCAGTATCGAGAATATTTTGTTTCAATTCATCAATTTAATTTTTCTTGGAATAAATTTACTGGTTAAAACACTATTTTGAATTAGACAGTTTACAAAAGATAAAAAAAAACTTTAGGTTCATAATCGCGACCCCAAAAACGTCAGTTTATCGAAATTCACCAAAATCAAAATGCAAGGTTTTTCGAGGACACGAAAGGGTTATTATAAATAATATAGAAAAAAATATAAAGTGAAAAAAACCTAATGGATAATAGTGAGATATTTACTTGTGCTGACGTTCGATCCAGTAGATAAGTAATTTTCCCATAATCATCGATGTCAGGATCTCTTGCCATTATTATTGCAATTTCTGTACCAATTTTTGCATTTTCCATAACTGTTAAATTGTGAATGTCAATAATGAAGAAAGGATTATTGTCATTTTCGTCTATCACTTGAATAGAAACTTCTGCCAAACTAGACCTACAACAAAAGTATAAATTGTGTTAGACAATAAGAATTATAATGATTAATATAATTAATATTTAAACAATTATCAGGCACTGATTAATAATTTAATTAAACAGTTAATAAAGTAGTATATTAATTAAACAATTACAAAACCAACTAACGAATTATTTAGACAATTACTCATTTTTTATTCGGGTTGTCAACTCATTAATTATGAGTACCAGGTGGCGGATAGATGTGCCTCCTAGAAATAGGTGGTATCGAGGAAATCAAATACTCATTGCGGACCAAAACTAGCAAAAAAAGAAAACATCCATTATGAGTGATTGTAAAAATAAGGAAGAGTACCTGCGGGGTAATGCTTCGGCTAAAGGGCAGGAGGGCAACAACGCGTTGGGAGTACCACAGATCATCGTGGACAAGGTAGAGAGAAAAGGAGTCAGCTGCATTTCTGTCTTCAGTAATGCTCCTGCGATTGACATTGCTAGCTGTAATGAAGATCGAGATAAATGCATTAAGCTGCGGGAGAAAAAGGCAGAGAGCATTCTAAAAACGGAGAAAGAGGTCAGCAAGATGCTGAAGTCCTGTGAAGCCCAGAGGAATGTCAATATGATAATCAAGGATGGACTCAGAAGCTTAACATTGCTCATTCATGATGTGAAGGAGAAGCACGCAACAGCGTCAAATAAAGACGAGAAGTTCTACCTGGGATTAACTTGGTCAGAAGAACCACGCAAGGACCGAAGGCTGAGACGTGACCGTTTTAATGCAGCAATGCTAAAAAAGGAAGGAGGGACCTCCTAAAAGGGTTAAAGCCAAGGGGATTAAAACGGCACCAAAGCCAAATTCAGTCAAGAAAGGAAGAACCACATGGATCGTCAAAGTGGCTGAAGGAACTACTTTCGCCAAAGTGCTGGCGAAAGTTCGTGAAGAGGCTGACCTGGAGGCCAGTCAGACAAGGGTTGTGGGAGCTTTACCCACTAAAAAGGAAGACCTCCTTATTAACATTGGAGGGTCTTCAAACAAGAGGTTGTTCACCGAAGAGGTGATAAACCCAGTAAAAAAAGTATTGGAAGAGAGCGAATAGTATTGGCGGTGAGTTTCTGCCAATACGTTTTTGCGTGAAAACCGTATTGGGGGCATTCTGACAATCCTGCTTTTTCACCGTCAATACTGTCCACTTGAATCTTTTGATTTCACGTTCATTGACTCGACTGTGAAGGTAATCGGTGACCTAAGTAAAGTGCAGATGGCGGACTGGCAGATTGTGCTGGAAATCCGCGACATGGACACCCTTACCGAACAGGAATACGTCAAGGAGGCCTTATTCAAATTATCTACGGTACCAGCAGAAAGCAGGAAGGTGACGGTCCTTGGACCAATTTAGCGAGGTATAAAGCTCGCTGTCATGGTCACCACCCAAGAGGATGCTAACAAACTGGAGAAAATAGGGCACCTTAAGATAGGTTTCGTGTCCTGAAAAATTAGTAGAAGAGTTATAATCACAAGGTGTCATAGGTGCCTTGACTATGGCTATATAAATAGAGATTGACAATCAATAGACAGGTCGGCTGAGTGCTTTAAGTGCGGAGAAGCCGGCCAGAAGGCAGCAGGTTGTAAGAAGATCCCATGCTGCATCTCATGCCAGGCGAAGAAGAAAAGAAGATGTTGGAGTTGAATCTCGCGCGCTAACAAGCGCATGCGTGACAACCGCGTTTGAACGCATCTCATGGTCGAGGAACGCTTTGCGATTCTCATTCACTAACAAACAGTTGGAAAACGTTGTAGTTGCTCAATAAATTCAATCGTCTTTTGCGCACAAATAATTGTTTTACTGAGTTCCACCTTAACCATTTTTAACAGGTTATGTCTAAAAGTTAAAATTCTCGAGGAATGGGACGCAAGAAAAAACAAAGTGCGCGAAAATTTCCAAAGTGCGATGATCGCGAGTGGAAAGGGTAAGAATGCTTTTCACAAGAAACCTTTCAAAACGAAGGGACCACAATCCGGGAATAGTGAAAGTGGTAAATCCGTGGAAAATAATTTTCGAGTAAAGTGTTTTCGGTGCAAAAAGTTCGGTCACAAAGTGAGAAATTGTCCCCTTGAACGTGACGACGACAAGCATACAGCCCGCATGGCAAACGAAGAAGCCTATATCGCGAGTGCGTTGCCCATTAAAAACAGTGAAGATCTACGTTATCACTGTCAATCGACGAATCCATAAATCAGGTAGTTCTCGTGAGTGAATCATCAATCAATCCCAGTGAGAATCCGCATTGCCCCGTGCCAATCGATAAAATAAGTGAACATAGCTGTCTGGTTACCATCGCGGGCGCTCTGACCGATTAGATAGCGTTGAATGCGGTTAACGAATCAGACGCGAAATGGTGTTTAGACAGCGGTTGCACATCGCACATGTGCAATAGCAAAGAAAAGTTCGCAAAATTGGATACTTCCGATCAGACAACTGTGAACCTGGCGAGTAATTCGTCAATGGAAATACGCGGAAAAGGTCAAGTAAAATTGACAGTGCGCGATCGAGCAAATTCGAAAATGTTGAGACTCGAGGACACCTTATTCGTGCCGGATTTGAGATCTAATCTCATGTCCGTCGGAAAAATCACGGATACCGGGTGCAATGTACTCTTTCGGAAAGAGGACGCAATCGTGTACGACGCCGATGGAAACGAACGATTCGTCGCGAAAAGAACGAGCGGGCTCTATTATGTAAACAAGAAAACGGAAAGTGCTGCTTGTGCGACGACACCTCGAAATTCGAATCTAGAGACATGGCATCGTCGCCTGGGACATCTCAACGAGGCAGATGTGAAAAAGCTTATCCGGAATAAAACCGCGTCCGGAAATCGCGCAAATACGTCGGATAAACTCGCGACTTGTGAAACGTGTCTGAAGGGGAAACTGACACAAACACGGTTTCCGAAAAAAACGGAACGTAGCACGAAAATTCTAGACATTGTCCACTCAGACGTATGCGGACCCATGCGCACCGAATCTATTCGCGGATCGAGATATTTCGTAACGTTTATCGACTGCAGCACCGGGTGGTGCGAAATATATTTTCTGAACAGGAAGAGCAACGCATTCTCAAGCTTCAGAACCTACAAGGCGATGGTGGAGAACCAAACCGGACAGAAAATCAAACAACTGCAATCGGATAACGGCGGCGAATACTGCGATAAGGAGTTCGACGATTTTCTAAAAACATGCGGAATAAAACGAAGGTTGACGGTACCTCATACACCGCAACAAAATGGTTTAGCCGAGAGAAGAAACCGCACGGTGATTGAGATGGCCAGGTGCATGCTCATTGAAGCAGATCTCCCACTATCCTTCTGGGCAGAGGCAGTAGCAACGGCGAACCACATTCGGAACCGATGCCCGTCAAGCAGCCTTCAAGGACGAATCCCTTTTGAATCCCATTTTTCTAGGCTATTCCGATGTTTCCAAAGCCTACAGAGTTTGGATACCGAGCGAAAGAAAAATGCAAGTTACTCGTGACATCGCCTTTCTAGACAAGTTCGACAGCGATGGAAAGTTTCAAGATTTTCTCCCAGACGATCTGATCTCAACGATGGAAATCAACAAACCTTCAACTCAAACTCTGGAAATTGAACTGCATCCTGGAGGAAAGAACGATGATCAAGGGGAAGCCGCACCAGATCCACCCGTAATTCCTGCACCGAATTGAGAAAATGAGGAAGAAGGGGAAGAAGAAGACGAGATTCTTCCTCACATTCCGTACGTTCCCTATCCAAGAGGACGAGGCCGTCCAACAATCCTTAGGACGGGTCGCAGAGGACGACCAATGAAAATATACCACCACAACGAGAGAATGTTTAAACCAGTGGAACCTGACATAGAAGAGGAACACGCAAATCTGGCCGAAGTTGATCTAGAGGATGCATTGTCCGGAGAAGATGCCGACGAATGGTGGGAAGCCATTTTAGAAGAATTTTGATCGTTACTCCAAAAGGAAACCTTCGAAGTATGCACCAGACCAATTAAGCAGAACGTCATCGGATGCCGCCTAACCCTCAGGAACAAACACTTCACAGACGGAAGCATCGAGAGGCGAAAAGCTCGTCTCGTAGCGAGAGGGTTCACTCAACGACCCGGGATCGACTTCAAGGAGACTTTCGCTCCGGTCGCTCGCTTGAATTCGATAAGAACGGTAATGACAATGGCAGTCGAACGCGATATGAAAATTCACCAGTTAGACGTCACCACAACCTATCTGAACGGCAGATTGGAGGAAACTATACATATGGAAATACCCGAACTCCTGAAGGACGCCCTAGTGGACATTATCAACTGTGGAAAATTCGACGAAAATGTGATTCGAGCAGCATCGACCATGCTTCACGACATTCAAGGAAGAGACAAAGTATTTCTTTTAAAAGGAGCTCTCTACAGATTAAAACAAGCTGTCCGACAATGGCACAAAATATTGGACGCCGAATTGAGGTACCTCGGATTCAAGCCTCTCGAATCGGATCCATGCATCTACATTTCCGCATCTGGAGATGACACTACGATCATCGTCGTCTACGTCGATGACATGTTAATCATGTCAGAAAAATTGTCACGAATACAGAACGTGAAACGGGAGCTAACCAAAAAGTATGCCTCGAAAGACCTAGGAGAAATAAAACGCTGCCTAGGAATGGAATTTACAAGAACCAAGGAAGGTCTACAAATCACCCAGAAACTGTATACCGAAAATATTCTTGATCGTTTCGGAATGACTGACGCAAAACCAGTCAAAACGCCAATGGACCCTAACGCAAAACTGACGAAACCGGAACAAGAATCTCATGGAAGCAGAAGAGCGTACGAGTTTCGCGAGTTGATCGGGTCATTGATGTATTTGGCGGTCGCTACTTGACCTGACATCGCATTCGCCGTCAATTACCTGAGCCAATTCAACACCTCTTTCGAAGAAGAACATTGGATTGCCGGAAAGAGGATCCTACGATACCTGAAGGGAACTGCAGACCATGGAATCAGCTACTCCAGGAACGGAACAAATCCCTTGGTTTACGTGGACGCAGACTGGGGGTCTTGTGCTGAAGCCCGACGATCATACACCGGTTTTGTTTTTATTTTTGCAGGTGGAGCTGTCAGCTGGGGATCCAAGAAGCAACGGACGGTTGCACTCTCGAGCACCGAGGCCGAGTACATGGGCCTCACTGAAGCAGCTAAGGAGGCTATCCACCTTCTACGTTTCATGAAGGAAATGGGGTCATCCGTCACAGAGCCAATCGTCATCTTCAATGATAACCAATCAGCGCAGAAGTTGGCCAAAAATCATGTGTTTCACGCCAGGACGAAACACATCGATATCCGTTACCACTTCATCCGAGATGCCATCAAGGACGGGGATATCAACGTAGTCTTCAAAGGCATACAGGACATGACTGCAGACATACTCACGAAAGGTCTCGTGAGCAATAAGCACGATCAGCATAAACTAGGCCTCGGAGTGATACCCGGTTCTGAAGGTCGCGTTCATCGCGATTTAGGGAAAGTGTTGGAGTTGAATCTCGCGCGCTAACAAGCGCATGCGTGACAACCGCGTTTGAACGCTTCTCATGGTCGAGGAACGCTTTGCGATTCTCATTCACTAACGAACAGTTGGAAAACGTTGTAGTCGCTCAATAAATTTAGTCGTCTTTTACGCACAAATAATTGTTTTACTGAGTTCCACCTTAACCATTTTTAACAGAAGACTTTGTCAAGAACAAGGAGGAAATAAGGTCAGAACAAGAACGGCACGGAAGAGTTGCGCCGGCGACTAAATGGGACCATTCATCTGCGAAGTCTGAAGCCGCAAGGTAGTTCTGTAGGTGGATAGAAGGTTCGAAACCCAAGGGATCAAAAAGAGGTTTTTAGTCGGTATTGGTGACTGCCTAAAGCAGCGTAAGTGGGAGCTTCCTGAGCATGCGTTAAAACATTTTCTTCTTCTGAATAAAATTTTTTTTTTTAATCAAATAATTAAGAATTAATAATTAACAGTTTTTTATCGAATCAATTTATTAGTGATAGGTAATTAATTAATTGATTAATTGTTCAATTGGTTACTCAGCTAATTAGCTGAACAGTTAATTTGATAAATTACCTTTTATGTTAATATATAATTTCGCTATTTAGTTATTCTCTAAACTAGATAATTAAATGATTACTTATTTTATTCATTACGTAAGTTCTTAATTTATTGAGTAGTCAATTAATTAGTTTGGTCCTCTATTAACTGATTAGTCATTTAGTTAATTCATTAGCTTCTTAAATAATTTAGTAGACAGTCAAATAATTAGATTAGAAAAACTAATTTGTTTATTTATATAACCCTTAGTCAGTTATTAAATTATTTATTTAATCATTTTTTCAAACAGTTAACTAAATAAATAGTTGATTAATTAATTAGTTAAACATGTAATTATCCTACTTGTTAATTTAATAATTTGTTATTAATTTAATTAATAGTAAAGACAATTCATTCATTAGTTAGGTATTTTATTAATTAGTTCGTTTCGTAGTTAATTGGTTGTACGATTAACTAATTGGTTAGGTTTATAGTTAATTTATTAGTTAAGTTAATTCTAATTAGTACAATTAATTAATACTATATTAGTTAGGGTAATTAATTAAGTTAATAGTTAGTTCATTAATTTGATAACTAATTAATTTAATTAATCACTTAATTATTTAGTTTTCCAATCATTTAATAAACTAATTGATTAAATTGTTGAGCAGTAAACCAACTTTTAGAAAATTATTTAATTCATTAATTACATAATAAACTGATTTTGTTCATTCCTTAATTACTTATAGTTAGATAATTAATTAATTCGTTAATAGTTTATTTCTTCAAACAGTTAATTGACTAAATTGTTAATTAAATATTATGTTCACAGTCAATTATCTTTAGTGTTAATATTATGTTAATTATTAACTAATTTGTTATTAATTTATTTAATAATGTAGGTAGAGGAGTATCGTCGAGGTTGGACCACTGTCTAGGTAGGCCACTCGCGTTTTTTGTCAAGTTCACTAGCGCCACATACGCGCATACTTGTCGAAGCTTGTCTTAGTGAAACCTATCTTTTTGTTTAATTACATTTTCGGAGAATCGAAAATTGTGTTTTCTGTGACGTCGGTACAAAAAAAGCTCAAAAAAAGTTTTGTGCATCATGTGAAAAATCATTAATAAAAGATAAAAAAAATTGAATCGTCAAGGCAAGCATGCAGAAATTAATATAATTGATCATCTTATTAATATTTTTATTTAATTTTATTAATATTTCAGTGCAAAGTTTTTTTTTATTTATATTTATTTTTTTTATATTGTTTATTTTTATTATTTTGTTATTTCATTAAGTTACAAACTGTAAACAATAAAGAATCAATTTTCCATAACTCCAAACATGTTATTTTTTTAACGATTAATGCCCTTTGAATTTTAAACATGGCCGACCTTGACTGTAAGGACCAACCTGGACTACAAATTTTTTTTCTAAATCTTTATAACTTTTTCATTTTAAAACCAATCAATTTACTTTGCACAGAAAAGATATTCCTATTAAACAGGAATTTCCAACCATATACTTCAATTGTCCAAATTCATTTTTTAAAAAAAGTTATAAACAAAAGTCAAAAAGTGGGCCGACCTCGACTATGTTCCCCTAATTAATTAATTGCTTAATTATTTAATTAATTAGCTGAGTTTTTAAATAATTAATTGTACAATTAATGAATTAATGAGTTCCATAACTTATTAATTTATTACTTAGATAATTATATAATTAATAAATTAGCAATTAATTAATTAAGTAGGTAATTTATTAATTAGTTAAAAGAGTAATTCTTTTTAATAATATCTGTTATTAATTTAGTTAATAAGATATTTAATGAATTAATTAGTTATATGTAATTAGTTCTAATGAATTAAATATAATAAATTATTTATAAATAATTAGCTATGATAAGTTTGTTATAAATAATTAGTAATAATTTATCAGTTATAATTAATTAGTTGTAAGTAAATAGTTCTAATTAAGTAGATATAAGTAATTAGTTCTTATTAATTAGTTGTAAGTAATTAGTTCTAATTATTAGTTACAAGTAATTAGTTCCAATTAATAATTATTCTGGTATAATAAATTAGTGACAAATAATTAGTTATAATTTATTAGTTATAACTAATCAGTTATAATTATTTAGTTAATAATTCTTTATTATTAATTATTATTTAGTTATAATTATCTAATTAGTTATAATTATTTCTTTATAATTAATTAATCACAATATTTATTCATTGATCGGTTAAGTAATTATTATTTTCTCTTAGTTCATGAAAACTGTAAAAATATTTCAAAATTAAATTATAAAACAACTTTTTAAGGATTGTTAACTGCAATAAAATTTAAATATCGAGTTACATTCGGACAGGTTTCAGTGTAGCCACTTAAGTTGTTGATTAGGTAATTAATTCATTTGACAGTGAGTTTATTCAATACTTATTGAATTAATTCGTCAATTAGTTATCTGAATAGTGTAATAATTTAATTATGATAATTCTTATATTTAATTAGTTAATTTTTGTCTTATAAAATTTTTTTTACCTTGGCGGCACACCTGAATCAGTTGCTCTAACAGTTAAATTTATCCAAGAATATTGTTCCCTGTCTATTTTATTAGCAACAACCATTTCTCCTGTTTCTGAATCGATATCAACTAATTCTGCTAACTCCCTTGGACTTTCTAGTGAATAAGTTATCGTACGATTTTTATCATCATCATATGCAACGACACTTGCAATATGAACACCATTTTTGCTGTTTTCAGTCACTGATCTTCTGTAAAATGGCCTTCGAAAATGAGGATTGTTGTCATTCTCATCCTCAATTATAATATTTAAAGTAGCTGAAAAATTTGAATTATTTATTATTTAAATTTTAATTTATCTTTTAGAGAAAAATATGCTAAATGCGCAAATAATTTGGATTCATAAATTTAGTTTAAAAATATTATTTCGACAAATTGCAAATTAATATACGAAAGATTTGTCAATTTCTAAGAGCACTGGCTATATTTTATTTAATTTATTTTTTTATTCAAAGTTTTCGAACAGTTGTATAAAACTTTTTATTAAGAGAGCGCTTAATTAAATTCCTTTGCAATTGAAAAGAATTTTCTAAACTTTTGTTTTGTTTTTTATTTCTGCGAAAAGTTTTATTTTTTCTCCCCGCACAGAAAATGAAATAATTTACCAGAGGCTGTTTGAGGTCCATTAACAGCTGCCAAATCCTCAACAACAAGACCAAGTTTTATAATTTCAACCCTCTCTCTGTCCAATAATCGTAACACTTGAAGTAAACCGTCGAGGGCATTCAACTCTAGAGCCGCCAGGTAATCGTATTCTTGAACACGGATCAAAGTTCCTTCCTCGTTTCTTGCTTCGGATGAGTTGGGATCGATTCTATACCGCAAAATCGGCGCAATGTCAGGATCACTTGCTACAACTCGATGAACATACGCTCCAATCTTTATTAAAAAAGCAGTAAAAACAAATTAAATTGAATCAATTGATTTTTTTATCGTTATTTTTCATTTGTACAGAATTACAATTTTATTTATTTGGTTTTAAGTTATCACATAGTTTATCAATTTTTAAAATTTTGTACGAAATTTTCAATTTTGAAAATTGGACGCCATATTTGTAATCAGCGACCCCAAAAATCCCTGAGTTAGTAATTTCATGTAATTTTATAGATTTTTCAATTTTTTCTTCCGCCATATTGAATGCGCCATTTTTAATTCTCTAAATTCGACTTTAAATGCGTAATAAGCGACCTCAAAAACTCCAAAGTGCAAAATTTATGTTAAAAACAAAAATCCAAAAATCGGACTCGAGAGATCGATATCTATAATTTTATTACGAAGGTTTAGAAAAAAAATCATTTTTGTAAAAAATTGTGACCTGTAGAGTGATTTGAAACGAAAAAGTACATTTTTTGTGCGTCATTTTGAATTCTCCAAATTCGACTTTATATGCATAATAAGCGACCCCAAAAACCCTCAAATAAGAAATTTCATACAGTTTTATTGATTTTAAACTTTTTCATCAGCGATATTGGATTCACCATTTTAAATTTTAAAAGTTCAAATTCATTTTCGTAATCAGCGACCCCGAAAACCCCAAAGTAAGTAATTTCATGCATTTTTATCAATTTAAAAATATTTTTGTCCGCCATATTGGATCCGTCATTTTGAATTTTACAAATTGGATTTCGTATTTGTAATCAGCGACCCCGAAAACCTCCAAGTGAGAAATTTCATACAGTTCTATTGATTTTAAACTTTCTCATTGGCCATATCGGATTCGCTATTTTGAATTGTTTTAATTTTAACATAATATTGCATCAGTTTTTCATAGTGAGGAGACAATTTTGCTAAGATATTGCCCCAGTATTGCCGAAGAACCGCCACAATATTGTCGTAATATCGTCAGAATAATGTCAAAATTAAGGTAAAACTTTTCTACAATATTGATACAAAAATGACACACGTTTGCCAGGAGTTATCAAAAATTTTACCAGTATAGTTTTAGTTTAGCCGCAATTTATAACAAAAATTTTGCCAATTTGTCGCAATTTAATAACTTTGCTGTAAATTTGAGCAAAGAATTTTGCCAGAGCCATGTTATATTTTGCCGCAATTTAACAATAATTTGGCATAATTATATGCTAGAGTATTGACAGTTTTGCTGAAATTTAGCAACTATTTTGCCCCTGTTGTGCCAAAATAGCGCTAATATTTTTCCACAGTTAAGACACAATTTTGATAAGATATTGCCCTAGACTTAATCAAGTATTGCCACAATTTTGCCGTAGTATTGTTACAATACTGTTGCAATTTAGACAACATTTTGTTAGAGTTTTGCTCGCTTCGCACTCATCTACTAAAACCTATTATTTACTACTTTTTTACGATTTGCTATTTAAATACTTTTTTTATACTGGTGACACTAAAAGATACTTTTTTCTATTTTATGAGAATTTACTCTAATTTAAATCCGCACATAGTTAAAATAAACAAATTATTCTTAAAATTTTAATAAAATTCTTTGCAGGAATTCAACTTTTTTCAAAAATACTGAAATTCTCAGCGCAAGAATTCAATTATTTTCGAAAATTTTTTTTAAATTCTTCACAGAAATTCAATTAATTAAAAAAATTTTAATTAGACATTTTTCACAAGAATTCAATTATTTCCGCAAATAATGAAATTTTTTGCTGAAATTCAATTATTTTCAATAAAAAATATTTTAATAAAATTTTACAGAAGAAATAATAATTTAAAAAAGTTTTAATAAAATTCTTCTCAAAAAATTTAATTATTTTCATAAATAATAAAATTTTTACACAAATTCAATTATTTGAAATACAATTTTAATAAAAATTTTTGAATAAATGCATTATTAAAATTTTTTTTTTAAATTCTCCGAAAGGAAAACATTTTTAAATAATTTTGATAAATTTTTGTAATAAGAATTATTAATCTATTTTTAAATATAATTGAAATTTAATTCCAGAAAAGAATTGAATTATTTACAGAATTTTTAATAAAAAATTCTTCAAAAACACATTTTAATAAAATTTGTTGCAAGAATTCAATTATTTTCAAAAATAATACAATTTTTAGAAAAAATTCAATTATTTACATAAATAATAAATTTCTCTACGGAAATACAATTATTTAAAAAAAATTTAATAAAATTATTCAAAAGAATTCCATTATTACCTTAAATTTGTTTAAATTCTTCGAAACAATTCAACGATTTTTCTAAATTATAAAATTCTTCTCAGGAATTCGTAGTAAATTACATTTGTGCACTTTTATTTAAATATTCCTTTTTTTAATACAAATTAAATTATTTTTATGAACTAAAGACTTTTCTTAGTTCTAAAAAAGATTAACTACTCAGTAAAAACAAATTTAGAAAAAATTAACATTAAAAGCTTTAAATGATTCTTTAAACGTGGCTGATTTTGAAACACGTAGTAATACGCACAATCACCCTAGTTAAATTTCAAAAAAATTTTAAATTAGTTATTAAAAAATCTGACACTTGTGGAAAAATAAATAAGTAGGGTCATTTGGAGTAAATGTAAACAAGAGGTAAATGTAAACAGTAGATGTTTTAGCTAAATTTACAAATTAAAAAATAAGTACGACGTCAATATTTTTACCTCAGCTCACCTACAAGATGTTCTGAGTATTGCCAATATTTTATTTTGACAATTAGCAATGCCATAGTGTAAGTTATCTTTTAATGCAAAAAAGATTGAAAATCAAAATTTTACTGTTTCAGTATTTTGTCTCGCATTTGCATAAAAATAAATTTAAAAATCAAACAAAAATATGTAATTCTTCCTTATTAATGCCCTAACAAAAATTGACTTTGATTTTTGATTTTCGTCAATTTAGTTAATAAATAATTAAGTGTTTACATTTACCCCGAGAATTCGAAAACTCGGGGTAAATGTAAACAGAACTTGAACTACATTTTAAAAGAAAATAATTAAATAAATTTGCTTCTATTTCACAATTTCATTAATTTAGCAATGTAAAATTACTTAGAAAAGGAAATTAGGTCCTCTTTAAAAAAAAATTTAATAGAAAAAAATTTTTTTTTTGAAAATTTGATCAATTTTTAAAAATATTTTTAGGTTCATCCGCCATTTTGAAAATTTAAAATTTGACTTCAAATTCGTATTTAGCGACCTCAAAAACCCCCGAGTAGCCAGATTCAAGCAAATTTGATCAATTTTTAAAAATATTATTTTTAGGTTCATCCGCCATATTGGATCCACCTGTTACACGGTTAAATTAAAACTATATTTATCATACAATATCTACATGAACGGGAACGTTTAGGTTTTATTTAATTATTTATAAATTATAATTTATCCTTTCTTGCTTCCCTGTACCAACCTAGCCTATGAACCTTGCCTGCCATAAACTGCATACTTGCGGAAGGTTTCTACGCAATATTAAAATAATTATTGGGAGAACTGATTTAATGTTGGATTTGTAACAACCTTTAAAGGTTTACAAAATAGAATGGAATTTCTATTCTTGAAATGTCCATTATTTCCAACTGACATTAATCCTATTTTAAGAGATTAATTTGAAAAATAAGTAAATAAATTAAAAATTGTATCAATAATTAAAAGAATACTAAAAGATATTCTTTTGTAAGAATAAAGGAAAAAGGGATTTATTTCAACATAGTGCAATGAACCGATTATATAAAATGCAAGTTTAGCAATTTTGGCATGGCAACAGGTCCAACGCCTTTTCCCCACCATCTTTTATTGCAATATTTTCCCACCTAATTAGAGTTCAATCAAATTATAAAAGAAGCATTAATGCCAATCCAATCAGTTCGGTTTCCGCAACCATAGAGGCTAAAACTCTGTTATCGGAATAAAAGAAATATTCTTAACCTATAACGTTCCCGTCCGGTACCGAGGACCCAAATTGGTTGTGTGCTTACACGAACAATTTGGTCGGACGAAAAATAAAATACCAACTTACTCCGAAGTCCACGGAGGCCGTTTTCAAAATTCGAGACAGCGAAGTAAATTTATTTAAAGTAGGGGAGACTGGGGTAAACCCGCTCACAGGGTAAACCCGCTCACTAGCGATTTTACGCTATAAACTCAACTTAAGATGGAGATATTGGTACTGTGAATAGTACTTAACATTCAACTTATATTAACGAACTTTCGTTTAGTTTCATGAATTCAACATAGAATCAGAGGCGATCAAATGTTTTTAGAGGTATCAGAAAAGAAACGTATTTTGGATTCTTAAGTTTTTCGATCATTATTTTTGAGTCTTAATTTATCTGGCAAATTTTTTTTGTTGCTATTGGATGTCCTTCTTCGAAGTACATATATAGTTTTGTCTTATTTTAAAAAGATTTAATTAAATTTATTGTGAAATGTGAGGAATACACCGGGGTAAAGTCGCTCACTTAGTTTTAAATTTAAAATTTAGAATAAAATAATTTCACGTATTATATTTTAACAATAACACAATTTATGACTTATTAAAACCAAAAAAAAACCAAAATTTTAACTACATTTCACTTTCTCTTAATAAAATATAACACTATTTAAATCCATAGTTGTAATTCATGAAATCTATGTTCATTATTTATTAAACCAATTTGTTGTTTATAGAAATGTTTATATAACTCATAAATTATCAATAATAAATCATACTTAAGACGGGAATAAGACGAACTTTAATATTTAAAAAATAAAAATGTTCCGTCTTGAAAAGATAAAGTGAGCGGGTTTACCCTGGAAAATTGTGATTTCGAAATTTGGTATATGTTTATTAAAAAATTTCTCTAAGTAAAACTAAAAAAGATAAATTAAAAACTCTTTTTTATTTTTTTAGTAGAAATCATAAGCTTTCAAATGATATAAATTAACTTGGATTTAGAGAATAATTTCCTAGATTTTAGCCGACCTGAAAAAAAGTGAGCGGGTTTACCCCAGTCTCCCCTAATACTTTATTTTTCTTGTTGAAAAACCGGCCGGTTTCGAAAAGTTACCGCGTCCGCCCTGTGTTCGAAGGTTTGGAAAGAAATTAGGAATATAGTAAATTTTAAAAACTATTTTGTGCGTGTGTGAATAAAAATTGTGAATTTCCGCCCGCCTGAAGAAGACTTCAAGGCGGTAGATTCTAAGTTCCAGAACTGGTAAGTCACTGTATCGTTCTGGTTTGGTTTTACCCCATCCTCCCTTTTATTGTTTGAGGGACGGATGAATTCTTTCATAATTCAAAATAAATTATAATTATTACTCTTAATTCTTTCTCTATTAATTTTCTACATCTTCCTTACCCCCCTCCTCTAATTAAATTCTGAATTTTTTTTAAGTAACAAGGAATAACGATCCCAATAAGATAAACAGAGCTTACGCTCTGGCAGTTTGGTCTCCTCCGCCGAACTGTAAAAATAGGGCCAACTCAAAAGCCCAAAAATAATTTTTATAATAAACAATTATTCAAATTATTTAAAATATTTTTATCGGTTCGTAACACCACCATTTTGAAATTTAAAAATTCGATTTTAGATTCTTATTCAGCAAAATAAAAAAAAAACTTCTTTTTACCAAGTTGAATGAAAATCTATTAAAATTTGTTCAAGTTATTCAAGTTTTTACATCACTAATTTTGTAATGGTTAATTGTTTATTTTGTATGATACATTATCAGTCAACTGGTTGATTTACTATACATCTACGAAGAATTTTTATCAGTTTTTCCATCCCTTAAAACAGTAGTATATTTGAAATAACTTGTTTCTTAAACCTCGCTTAACTTCAGTGGTGTTTACATTTACCCCGAATTTTAGGAAAATTTCAAAATCTCGGGGTAAATGTAAACAGTCATTTTCAGGCGATTCAGGTGCATCAATATTTTTTTGTACCTCATACAATTTTTCTAGGGAACTCTAGTAACAAGTTCATGCAAAAGAAATCCGTCCGTTTTACCTTTTAACAAAAAAAATAATGTTTTTGGTGAAAAATAGATATTCCGTTTACATTTACCCCAATTAGACCCTACTTATTTAAAATTTTTATTTAACAAAGATTATTCAATTTTTAAATAATTTAACTTCGAGTTTATGAAAGAAATTCATCTTATGGTAAATTGTAATTAAAAATTTTTGCGATAGTTAAATTCCCGTAAATAATTTAAAAAGTTTGAATTAAGTATTTATTTATTTGGTAATTTTGTCAAATATAATTGAAATAAATTTTATATTTTAAATTATTTAATTTTATTACTTTCAAAATTTATTTATAAATAGAATCGTATTTCTAAAGAATTCTACTTAAAAATTTGGAAAATAATTAAATTTTAGAAAAATTTAGAATTGATGTTATTAGCAGTATATGAAAAAACGTAAATATTTTTTTTATGGAAATCAGGAGAATGTCAGGGAAATTTTATATAAAATTTTTGTGAATCGACTAAAAGGAGTTTTTTAAGTCGTCAATCTTAATTTTTCGATAGCTACTTTTTACTACTTTTTTCAGTCTTAAAGCTAATTTTTGCTACTTTTTTAAAAGTAATTATTTATTGCGAAGTTTGGTTTTGCCAGATTTTTTCTCAATTTAGCAATAATTTTGTCACACTTTTGCCAAAATATTTTGCCAGAGTAGTGCTATAATTTTTTTGTGGCAATGCTACAATATTGCCACAATTTTTCCACAGAATTGCCACAAACCCCAAAAATTATTTACAATTATTTTGCTGTTCTATCGCCACAATTTTATCAAAATATTGCCATAGTTTTGCCAAAAAATTTCAGTACGCACAATATTTATAATTCTAACCAATGATATTATATGAAAAAAATGTATTACTATAATTATTATTAAAAAATGAATTTACTATTATTTATTTTTTATTTATCGTGTAATAAAGTGAAAAATAGAAAAATTTCTTCTCATTAGAATTACCTGTGTATTTTCTCTAATTGTCACTGTTCCGGGATCAATAAATGTTGGCGATTTATTGTTAACGTCGATAATGGAAATATTGACAACAACATTTGCCGTACGTTGAATTTCAGTTCCACTGTCAATGGCAATTACATTTAAAATATATCTCGTTGTTTTTGGTGACGTTAAATCCGGATCTAAATTCGATCCAGATGCGACTTTAATTATTCCAGTTTCCGGTCCGATAACGAATTTGTCTCCAGCTCCACTTTGTATTCGATATACTAATTTATTGTTTGGAGATGATAAATCTCTGTCCCAGGCTTTTACCTGAAAAAAAGAATTGAGTAAATTCTCTTCTTTTTGTTGAGACAAATAAAAAAAAATAATTACCTGTAATACTGTCGTGCCTCCGGGTACATCTTCGGGAATATTTTTTTTGTAAACGGCTCTTTCAAAATTTGGTCCATTGTCATTGACATCTTTGAAATAAATAATTACAGGCACATCGGAACTTAAACTTGGCGTGCCCATATCTTTGGCTCTAATTGTCAATCGTAGGGGGCGAATGGCTATTTCCATTTGTCCTTTATTGGCGGGTAGTTTTTCAAAATCCATTGGCATTGATGGTGTAATTATTCCTCTCGTTGGATCGATCGTAAAATTACGGGAATATTCACTATTTACGATCGAATAAACGACTTCACTGTTTCTCGTTCCTGAAAAATGGTTTTTATTTTTCGTTTTCAATTTCAATTTTTGTTACTATTTTTTATTGCATAAAGATAAAATATTATCCTATTACTTTTCTGGTTTGAATGTTTTTTCTTGTTTTTCATTAATTTTGTCTTCTTTTCATTATTTTTATTTCTTAATAAATAATTAATTAAAAATAATTATTTTCATTTATTTATAAATAAAAATAATTAAAATTTAATTAATTGAAATTTAATTTCATTCATTTTTATTTCTTTGTTTTTCATCACGATAGTTTATATGAAAAAATAAAATACAATAAAAACTTAATTTAATTTACCGTTCAAATCAATGTCAAAAGCCTCAACAATTAATGGCGATTCAAATTGTTCTTCATTCTCGAGTAAAACGATTTCGTATTTATTTTGCAAAAAAACGGGCGCATTATCATTAACGTCAAGAATATTGACAATAAGTTGGGCTGTGTTTCGATTTCCTCTTCCCAAATCGTCGCGTGCCTCGACAGTTAAATAATGTCGAGACACTAATTCTCGATCGAAACTTGAGCCACTTTCTTTCACTGTAAGTACGCCACTCAAAGGATTCAGAGATAATCTGTAAAAATTATAAACCACTTTCTTTTATTCGAAATTATGCTTATTTAGTTTTTATTTTAAACTTAAACACTGTAAATTACTTTAAATGTTTCACTATTACTAAATAATAATTAGTTAATTTAATAATTAATTTATTAATTAATTAAATTTAATTGATGGATTTCTCCTATAAGAATGGGAGAATGGAAAGAAAACATTTTTTTGCTTGAAACTTACACGTGAGCGATGCTGCCTCCCAAATTTGTATATCTAATTCCGAAAGTTCCAAAATTCCCACTGTCAGCGTCTAAAGCCTGCACCCAAGCAACTGTTGAGCCAATTTCACAATTTTCCGGTACCGATACTTCATATGTGTTCTGAGTGAATTCCGGATAATTATCATTTTGATCCTTAATGTAAACTGTTACTGGCACAATACTATATTTTGCCGCTGGGGTTACAATTTCTCTGGCAATTAATGTAAAATTGACAACTGAAAATTTTTATTCTTTTTAAAAAAATTAAAATGTCAAAAAATTTTTATTTAATTATTTTACATGATATTTTAAAAATTCTACAAAACAAAATATTTCAAAAACTGCACACAAAAAAATAATAATAAAAATTAATAAAAAATTTAAAAAGTTTTAATTATTCTTCAAATTTAAAATTTTAAGAAATTTTCAAAACTGAAAAATTTTTATACTTTCTTAATCAAAATTTTAAGTTTTGAAATTGAAAAACTTGCTTCAAAAATTTTTCATTTTAAAAAATATGCTTAAAATTTACAACGAATAATGATATTTTAATTCATGTTTGATTTAAAATTATTTTTGAAATTAAAAAAAATTAGGCAAATGAAATTTTTGAATCTTTAAAAAGGAAATTGAATAAAAATTGAGAAAGTAATAATTTATTTACCAGTTCTCTCTTCAAAATCTAGTTTTGAAGTATTTTTAACACGAATTAAGAATGCAGCTTCATTGATTCCACGCGATGGGGTGATGTCGAAAATTCCATTATCTCCATCAATGAACATTCCAAAAGTTCCATTCGTCCCCTAAAACAATAATATCTTAACCAATTCCACATTTGCAAAATAACATTTTAATTATAGCAGAGGTCACGAGAAAAATTATTTATTCCATTTTTCTTATTTAGGCTGTTTTTTTTAAATACATTTTTTAAACTTAACAATTCAAACAGGAATAAAAAAGCCCCACCCTACCCTAATTATTAATTGTTATTAAATATTAGTTAATTAAATTAAAAAAATCTGTGTAAAATAAATTCTGACCTAAATTCGACCTATTTTAGTTTTTACCTGAAAGTTAAATTTCAACTTCGACATTTTCCCTCTGAATATTATTCACTTTATGACCTAAAAAATTTGACCTAAGTTTTAAAGTTAAACACTCTCCCCAAACTCTGTTAGTTGGCCTAAAATTAAAGTTTAGGTATTTATTATTTTCTCTAATTTTTATTGACCTAAATTCGCCTTTTGATCACTAACATTTGACCTAAATATTATGGTTGAATTTAAATTTCGACCTATATACCTAAACTGTATAGTAAATTCACGAATTATTATTTTTGACCGAAAAGTTTAATTTTATGATCAACAATTCCCCTCTTGTTTAGTTTTAAAAACTCGTAGTATGACCTTAAAGCGGTCACTTCATGTATTTTTCAATAATTAATTATATTTAGAATAGGGAGCTCCTAGATGATACTGATTGTCTAACATTTCTGCAATTTGGTCATTTTCGTGTTCTCTAGGAGTGGGGCATTGATTGATTTGGGTTTGATTGTCGATTTAGGAAAATTCAATTTTATTCGAGTTTTGCCTTTTGTCGACAACACCAGAAAAATAGCCGTGCTCTCACGTGCCGGCCGAGGACACGGAAAGGTGCATTATTTAATTTTCAAGTGTCTTTATGTCTAATTTATTTGAGTTAAAGTTTATAAATTTTGTTTATTTTCTTTTATTTAAAGTGTGGCCGTTATAATAGTCCCCAATTTTAATTATTGTCATCCATGATATCTATCTTGCTGGATTTTGAAACAGTAGTCAACCAGGACTCCCATGGTATAAGGGAAACTTTAATACATTCCTGGAATCTGGATAATTCTGGTCACTCCACACTGAATGGTTTGAGAGATGAGTACCGTTATTTTATGAAATTGTATATTTATTATTGTTTATTTAATTTTCGGGATCTATACGATTTATTTTTATTAGGAGCAAATTTAAATTCTTAGACAAAAAAAGGTGAACTCGAATCATTTTATTTCTGTATTTATATGTTTTATTTTATGTGAAATTTAATTGAAATATTTATTGTATGTAATAATTTCATTTATCTATTTATGTATTCGTGTTTTTGTGTGTATGTGACTGAGACGCGTCTCCAAATTTAATTTGTTATAGAGAGAATATAATCTTTGGACTATAGATAAATATTAATAAATTGTCAAATATTATAAAAATTAATTCTTTTATTTTTATTTATGTAAATTTGCATTATTCTTTGTTGTAAAAAATGTTTATATATGTAATTAATTGAATTGATCTTTAATTTAAATTGATTCTTTTGTAATTTAACTGTTCCTTAATATTTTCACAAATAAAGAGATTAAAAATTTGTTACAACCTAAACAACCTTGACCCAAGTTTTCAAACTACATATATTCCATAAAGTTTGCTAGTTCACCTAAATTTTAATATTCGATTTTCGTGTCCTCTATTTTTTTATTTGAATTAATTTCTTTACAATTTTTATTTAACCTATAGTTTGAAGCAAACTAATTTTCAAATTAATCATTATTATTATTAACTATTACTTAATTTAAATAATCCAACTAAGTTAATTTAAATCTGAACTAAATTTAAATTATAAATTGTTAATTGATTTTAAAAATTTAAATTTTAAATTTAAAAATTTTCTTTGGCTTCCTCACCTGTGAAATGTACCTAAATTTTAACGTTATGTTTTACTTCCCCCCAGGCGTTTAATGACCTAAACTTTGGTACTATTATTATTGACTGGTGATCATAAAATGACCATCAGATAAATATAGAAAACAATAGAAAGCATAAAATTTAATTTTTTAGCTACACACTAACAATTTATAATTTAAATTTAGTTCAGATTTAAATTAACTTAGTTGGATTATTTAAAAATTTAAAATCTGACAAGTATCAGATGAACGACATAAGAAAGAAAAGAAAAAGAAAAAAATTTCGTCAAAGCATTAAGTTAAGGAGCATTTTACAATTTTGGATAAATCTAAATAAAAAATTAGGTCAAAATGGCTTATTAAGAAGAAAAGTAGAACATTAAAATTGTGGTTAAAGCAAAAAATCTATGTTAAATCAAACTTTAAGTTTAGGAACAAGAATAAATTAAAAGATTAAAAGGATGAATTAACAGGTCAAAAAGAAACTGGGCAAAATAAAAATTTAGGTCACAATGATATATTAAAAGGAAGGCTGAAATTGTTTAATTGTTTAAGGTTAAAATTGAGATTAAAGAAAAAACAACATTTAGGCGTTTAAAGCAAAATTTAGTGCAAGAAGTAAACGTAATTTTACAATTAAGTCAGATTAACATGTCCAAAACAAAATAGCAACATTAAAATTTAGGTAAAAGGAATGACAAAAAAAGGAATTAAAAGATTGAAATTTAGATTTTAAAAAATGTAGGAGAAGGTGCAGAAAGTATATTTATAAAGGCAAATTAATGGTTGAAAAGCTCAAAATTAAAATTTAGGTCAAGTTAAAAGGAAGTGTTAAAGGTTAACATTTAGGTTAAAGCAAAATTTAGGTTAAGGAGTAAACGTAATTTTACAATTAGGTCAGATTAACAGATCAAAAACAAAATAGTAACATTAAAAATAATTTAGGTCAAAATGAATGATTAAAAAAGGAATTAAAAGGTTGAAATTTAGATTAAGACAAAATTTAGGATAAGGTGATTAAAAATTAGGTCAAAATGAATTATTAAAAGAAAAGAATTAAAAAGTTGAAATTAAGGTTAAATAAGCAATATGTAGTTTATGGTGCAGAATTAATTGTTTTTCAATTAATGTCAAATAATTCGCAGGTCAAAAAGAAAATAACAACATTAAAATTTCGGTCAAAATGCCAAATTGAACTCACTAAATCTGAATCAGTGAAATTTGACTGAGAATCAGTGAATCAGTGGAATTGCACTGAAAATCAGTTAAAAATAACTGAAATTTCAGTCATTTTCCACTGAATCGCCAATTAAAAAACTACTGAAAATATCAGTTATTTTTTAATTGGCCAATCAGTAAAAAATGACTGAAATTTCAATCATTTTTAACTGATCTTCAGTGAAATTTCACTGATTCAAATCGCGAGAATAGAGTCACTGATTCTCAGTCAAATTTCACTGATTCAGTTTTAGAGAGAAAGAAAGTGATTAAAAAATGTTAATAATTTATGTTAAAGCACCGTGAATAGAACAGTGAAATTTCCAAATCCAGGTAAAAATTAGGTCAAGTATTGTGTTTCGTTTAATATTAAGTTTCATATATAATAAAAGCACTTGATAGTGCCAATGGCAATAAAGTGATAAACTCACCAGATCGTGATCATAAATTTCTGGAATCGCATCGCCAATAAAATTGACCGGTGTATTTTGTGGTGCATTCTCATTAATTTCGGCGATATATCTTGAACTTCGAAATGTTGGTGTTTCGTCATTAATGTCAGTGAGAATAACAGTGACTTCAGTTGATACTGATGGTGGCGGTATTACTACACTTGATATTTCTTTGACGGTAATTTTCAAGATAAAAGTACCATCACTATTATCAACAGCCTCTCGATTCAATTGCGCTATAGTGAACACTAAACCCGAAGTGGGTTCAATATCGAACAAGTGTTTTGGACCCTCAGTGATGCTGTACGTTATCTTGTTATTTATACCCTTGTCGCCATCAATTGCACGAACTGTTCATTTTTTTAAAAAATATTTTATTTTATTTTATTATATTTGTAATAATAAAAACTACATATAAATAAAAAAAATCATATAATTATAAATATTATAAATTTAATTAAATAATTATTAATGAAGTCAATTGTTCTTAAAATTATCCAATTGTAATAATAATAATTTTAATTTATTATATAATTATGATTCAATAATAGTATTCGAAAATTGAAAAAATACCTTGTAAAACAGGTGTTCCAATTCTGACATTTTCACTGATTCTGGCAACAGGGGTCATTGCAACAAATTCCGGAGGTTGGTCCTCCACATCCTGAACTTTTACTAAAATTGCGGTTGTTCCTGTATTTACCTACAAGATTCGAGTTTTATTAACAACGAAACTAGTAAATAATTAAATTAAATAATTAAACTGCAAATTGAATTCGGAATCACAACACTGGATTTATAGAAAATATCTGATTCCAACTGGAATTCCATTAGAATTTTGATTCCAATCGGAATGACATTGAATTTTTAATAAACTTCTGGTGTAATTTCGCAAGGATTCTTAGCAGATATTCAACAGAATTCCGATTTTAACTGTAATTCCAGCATAAATTGAAAATTTCAACGAAATACCCGCCTAAAATTTATCTAAAATTCGACGTTATTCAGATTGAAATGAGAATTGTAGTGGAATTCCAGTTACAATCGAACATTCACTATAGAATTCCATTATCTCGATTCCGAATTCCACACTCGATTTTTTAATTTCATTTGCAATTTAAATTTCGATATGAATTCGGATGAGAAAGAATTCCATACAAAGTGCTCTAACAAATTTCTTTTGGAATTTCGATTGGAATTTTAATAAAGTTCTGATTGGAATGGAATTCAGGCAGGAATTCCAAATAAAAATACATTTTAATCGTAATTATATCAGAATTCCAATCGGAATTCCTACAAGCATTTTAAAACGAATTTTTCCACGTGGCTTGGATTTAAATGGAATTTTCTCATCGGAAATACAATAAAATTCCTGTGAAATTATCAAATTACTGATTTTGATCGGATTTCAAAAATTGTATAGGAATTCCGATACCAATTTAAATCCAATTTTCACAGAAGTTTTATATTAATTTCAATGAAACTTTAGCAGAATTCTGCCAGCAATTGGCAGACAATCGAAATTCCGTTTAAACAATTTTTTAGAATTGCGTTGAAATTCCAAATTTAACAAATATTCATGGAATTTGGAGAAAATATTTATAAAGAACTTTGCGTAAAACTTTTCTATTTTTAGATTAAATTTATTTATAGGAAAAATAAAAATCTTTTTTAAAGGCTCAAGTGAAAAGTTTTCTGGAAAAGTACTACTAGAAACACTTTCTGGGGAATCTTTTCCGTTTGTTTTAAATTCCATTCAAAATCCAATAAAATTCAAGTGAAATTACTAATTGTTATCGGAATTTGGAAATAGTTATTGCAATTCCGATAATAATATCCATTGAAGTTTTACAGAATGTTTATCGCATTATCAATGAAACTCTGGCAGAATTCCATCCGTAATTGAGAAGGGAATCGAAATATTGTTTGAGAAATCTTTCAGAGTTCCGATGGAATTCCGACGTAATTTCCATTGAATTCTATCGGAACTCTGAAAGATTTCTCAAACATTATTTAGATTCCCTTTTCAATAATTATGCCAGCATAATTCCAACTATAGCGGAATTTCTTATTTCTCTTAACTTATAGCGGAATTCCCATGAAATTCTGATATGTTTCCGATTAGAGTGGAATGTCATCGAAATTCCTTTGTAAATGTTATATAATTCTGATATATTTCGGATTGGAGTAGAATTTTAGCAAAATTCCTTAGGGATTTTAATATAATTTCGATTAAAGTGGAATATTTAGTGTGAATTCTTATAAAATTCTGATATATTTTCTATTAGAGAGGAATATCATCGAAATTCCATTGGAATTCTATCGATTATCAGGCGAAACTTAGATTTCATTGGGATTTTTATAGAATTTTGATATATTTCCGATTAGAGTGGAATTTCAATTAAAATTCAATTGGAATTTTGTGTGAGGCGAAAAAAAATTATTTCTGAAAATTAGAATACCTTCTCGTTGATTGCCCGATCCACGGCAAGAATTCTCAATTGATAAAGATATTTTTTTTCGTAATCCAATGAGCCAATGAGTCGAACAACACCTTTTCCATTGACAGTGGTAATGGTAAATATGTCATTATCGCCATCCAATTCTTGAATGTAATAAACAACCTGACCGTGAGCACCTTCATCGGCATCGTTTGCTTCGACAGTTGTCAAAACACCGGGCGATGAATTTTCCTTTATTGTTATTGTCGTCGGATGGGGACGAAAAATTGGTATATTATCATTGATGTCCTCCACCAATATGAGAAGACTCTGTGTTATATAATTTCCTTCACCTAATTTTCCATCGGTTAGTGTCAAAATCAGTGCATACTCGTGTTGTAACTGAAATTTTTTTCAAAATTTATTAGGTTATTTTTTAAATAATTTTGTCTTCTTTTTTTAATCATAATTAAAGAATTTTTCTTTTTAAAGGAAAAGTTGTCTCTGTATAAAATGCTTAGAACCCTAAAAAACATTTTTATAATTAATGACAATTGAGGCTTGGATTGAAGAACTCGACGGGATCGCACCAGACAGGTAGAAATGAGCGACTCTGGGCCCCATACTGCTACCTGACTGGTATTATCCCTTGCAACCGCGCTGCGGTCGAGTTCTTCGATCCGAGGATACTGATTTTTGCATATTTTGCATGAAAAATATGCCCAAGAAAGAAAATCGCCGAAACACAGCCCATTGTATCGCTTGTGATCGAGGTGTTCACTTGAGTTGTGCCGGAGCAAACCCGAACACTTTTACGTGCCTTAACTGCACGTAAATCTCAATAATTTTCATCTTTTTCTTCACTTTATTTTATTCATTAAAACATATTCTTTAATTTTCATCAACAAATAAACGTTTTCCAGCAGTAATACAGTACCGTCCGAAATTGTCAGTCCACCCATTCTCAAAGGAATGACAAAATTTTTTTAACATAAAATTCATGAAAAGTAAAATTTTTTTTGGTTTATATTTTGAAAGACAATAAAATTTTGAAAAGAATAAGACCTTACAGAAGTCATTTGGCCAAAATTTGTAGAAGATATTCTTAAAAATCGTCATTTTCAATGTTTTACAAAAATTTGAATAACTTCTAAAATAATGAACGCTTTTTAATAATCTTAGGCTTATTTTAAAGACCATTTTCTACAGAATAAGAATTACTTATAGTCATTAACCTGTAATTTTTAACTTGGCATAAGCATGACGTCAAAGTTTGACAAAAAAATTCAAAAAATTTGAAATAATATTATTAAAAGAAAAATAATTTTTGAAATTCAAACATATATTTTTATTAAATTTTCTTGAAAAATCTACACCATATCATGTTTTATATATGTTCTAGAATAGTTTTTAGTACAAAAAATTGATTTCAAATTTTTCCAATTTTTTTGTCCAATTTTGACGTCATGCTTATTCCAGGTTAAAAATGACAGGTTAATGCCTATAAGTAATTCTTTTTCCGTAGAAAAAGACCTTTAAAATAAGCCTAAGATTATTAAAAAGCGTTCATTATTTTAGAAGTTATTTAAATTTTTGTAAAACATTGAAAATGACGATTTTTAGGAATATCTTCTACAAATTTTGGCCAAATGACTTCTGTAAGGTCTTATTCTTTTCAAAATTTTATCGTCTTTCAAAATATAAACCAAAAAAAATTTTAGTTTTCATGAATTTTATGTTAAAAAATTTTTGTCATTCCTTTAAAAATGGGTGGACTGACAATTGCGGACGGTACTGTATTAATTTTTTATCGATTTACAAAACTGTCCAATAATACCCCGAGATTTTTTAAAATCTCAAAAACCAGTTTTTTGCGCCAACTGATACAGAATGTACAATTTTAAACAATTAGGTCAAATTTCTGGTACCAAAAGAAAGGTTATTTATCGTACCACAAAATCAAGCTTCGAAATTTTGAGAAAAATAATTTTTTTATAGAGTTTCTGGACAAAATAAAAGTGTGTCCAATAATACTCCGACCTCCCCTACAATTAAAGTGAATAACATTATTGAATTAAATGAAATTCAACTGAATGGAATTAAATTGAATCAACTGAGTTGCATTAAATTTAATAATATAATTCAATCCGTGTCCGGTTGAAACTTTTGTTCTACCTGGGACGCATTAGAACTTGTTCTTTTGCACGGGGTTGCTGGTCCTCTATCGGACGCGTGCCAGGTGGCGGATAGGTTAGCTTCCTAGAAATAGGTGGTATCGAGGAAATCAAATACTCGATGCGGCCCAAAACCAGCAAACAAGAAAACATCCATCATGAGCGATTGTAAAAACGAGGAAGAGTACCTGCAGGGTAATGCTACGGCTAAATCCCTCACTGGTTCCGATCGTCAAGCGCCTAGCGTGAGGACGGTGGCCAGTGGCCCAAGGATGCAGGAGGGCAACAACGCGTTGGGAGTGCCACAGATCATCGTGGACAGGGTGGAGAGACGAGGGAGTACAAGCAGCGTGACAAGTCAAACCAGCTGCATTTCTGTATTCAGTAATGCTTCTGTGATTGACATTGCTAGCTGCAATAAAGATCGAGAGGAATGCATTAAGCTGCGAGAGGAAGAGGCAGCGAGCATTCTAAAAATGGAGGATGAAGTCAGCAAGATGCTAAAATCCTGTGAGGTCCAGAGAAATGTCAATATGACAATCAAGGATGGACTGAGAAGCATAACATCGCTCATACGGGATGTGAAGGAGAAGCACACAGCAGCGGCCAGAAAAGATGAGAAGTTCTACCAGGGATTAACCTGGTCAGAAGAAGCAGTAAGGTGCAGATAGCGGACCGGCGAACTACGTTGAAAATTCGCGATATGGATGCCCTTACAAAAAAAGAAGACGTACTGGGTGCCCTGGAAAAAATTTCTACTGTACCAGCAGGAAGTAGGAAGGTGACGGTTCTCGGACCAAACAAGCTAAGAGCAAAGCTCGCTGTCGTGGTCACCAGTCAGGAAGACGCTGATAAGCTGGAGAAAATCGGGCACATAAAGATTCGGTTCGTCTTCTGCAAGATAAGAAGGAGAACTATGGTCATAAGGTGTCTAAGGTGCCTTAACTATGGCCACATAGGTAGAGATTGACAAGCAGTAGATAGGTCGCCTAGGCGACCTATCTACTGCTTGTAAAAAAAAAAAAATAAAAAAAAAAATAAAAATAAAAAAAAAATAAAAAAAATAAATAAAATAAAAAAAATAAAAAATAAAAAAAATAACTAAAAATCCCTGTATAAGATCTTGTACAAGAAAATGCACACATTCAGCAGCTGAACTTGTACAAGTTCTGGTAAGAACATGTACAATTTCTTGTACCAGGATTTGGAACAAGTTCTTGTATTAGAACTTGTACAAGAAAATGTACGAGTACTTGTACAAGAAAATAAACTTGTACAAGAAAATGTACAAGATTTTGTACAAGTTCAGGTACAAGTATTTGTACATGAACACGTGCATGTTCTTGCACAAGTATATTTATAAATAATTTTTTTTTAGAAAATTGGATCAAGTAAATTAATAAATAATTTTTTTTAAATTGGCATTTTAATAACTTATAAGCATTAAGACTCTCCACTTTAGGCAAGCCAAAAACTATTGCGCAGCTCTAAAAGCGTATAAAAACTACTGCGCAGCCTTTAATGTTTTTAATTTTTACAACTTAAAAATAATGTTTAAAGAAAATGTACAAGTACTTGCACATGAACCCGTACAAGTACTTGCACATGAACCCGTACAAGATCTTGTACAAGATCTTGTACAAAATCTTGTACGGGTTCATGTGCAAGTTTATTTTCTTGTACAAGTACTCGTACATTTTCTTGTACAAGTTCTAACACAAGAACTTGTTCCAAATCCTGGTACAAGAAATTGTACATTTTCTAACCAGAACTTGTACAAGTTCAGCTGCTGAACGTGTGCATTTTCTTGTACAAGATCTTATACAGGGATTTTTAGTAGGGCTGCGTGCTTCAAGTGCGGAGAAGCCGGCCATAAGGCAGCAGATTGTAAGAAGAGCCCATGATGCTTCTTATACCAGGCAAAGTTCGGCGAGAAGGAGAATATCCAGCATGTCGCCGGATCAGGAAGTTGCAAAGTCTTCCTCGAGGAAGCAAAGAAGACTTTGTCAAGGACAAGGAGGAAATAAGGCCAGAACAAGAGCGGCACGGTAGAGTCGCGCCAGCGACTACATGGGACCATTCATCTACGAAGTCTGAAGCCACTAGGTAGTTCCGTAGGTGGATAAAAGGTTCGAAACCCAGGGGATCAAGCAGTTTTTTTTAGTCGGCATTCGTGACTGCCTTAAGCAGGTATGCAAGGTTTATTTTTTATCCTTGCATTTTGTGAGTTTTTGAATTAATTGAATTAAATGATATTGAATTAGATGGAATTAAATTGAATAATATAATTGCATAAATTGAATTGCATTGAATTTAATAATATAATTGAATTTAATTAAAAAATTTAATTGAATTATTTGAATTGAATTAAAATAAAGCAAATTTAATTGAAATAATTAAAAAATTTGAATTAAATTGAATTGAATGGAATATTGAATTAATTATTTTATTTGAATAAAATCTATTTAATATAAAAATGAGAAGATAATTAAAATATTAAAATTTGAATTAGTAAAAATTTCAATTAATTTGAAAGAGTGACTGACTTTTTGTTTTTAAAACAGTTAAAATAAATTTCTAAATTTATTAATAAGATTTAATTTAATTAGTAATTAGTTTGTCAAATTTGATGTATTCTGTAATTTTTTAGTAAAATTTAAATCATGTAGTAATTAATTAGTAAAATGCAATATATTTAGTAATTAATTAATAGTTATACTAATTTTAATAATTTATTAAATGAGTAAGATCTGTTTTACTTAGTAATTTATTTAAATTTGTTAGTAAAATTTGATGTATTTCATTGGTAAAATTAAATTTAACTATAGAGAAATAGAGGAATAGAGGAAGTCAGTCTCTAATTTAAATTAATAAAAATATTTACTATACTCAAGTCTAATGAGTAAGAAAAAACTTTTTTACTCTTATATAAATATCAAAAAAAGTTAACTTTACGTTCTTTTTTTCTCATTCACCTAACTGATAAATAATATATTACCTATTTTACGATTATTCTTCTATGAAATCAGTGTTTAATTTGCCTTGAAAATTTTCTAGTCAAATATTAGCGTGTTAAATATTGTGAATTACAAGTTTTGAGGTCATGGTGCATTCAACCATTGAGTTAATTTACTATTATTTTGAGGAACGCAAGATCATCAATTTCTTCTTCTTCTTTTTTCTCTTCTTTTCTACTTTGAAAATTTTTAAATTATATACCTTTTAAGA